AAAGCACAACAAACACCAGCCTCTGCTGGTGATGGGCGGGTCCATGGGATACTCGCGGGAGTCTGGATGCCTTGATACTCGAGACTCGGCTCAGAAACCCGCATCCTCCCCCCCCCCTCCCAGCTCTTTTCAACATACATGGAGCTACTCTGAAATAGATACCTCCCCTCAGGAAAATGCTGAACCGCTTTCGGCCAAATTCTCGGAATCTTCCTGATAGAAACTTTGCATGTGTGCGCGTGTGACCACATCTATGGCAGAGATCACCCGAGATAATCCACACAGCTTTTCGCGTGGAACCGAATTGAAGGCAAGGACGCCATTACTCAAACTGCGGCAAAAGCTCCAGGTGAGTGTAGACAGAGCTGCTCAATAATTCAACGCGAAGGCACAGTCTGCACAAATGCCTTGCGCACGAAGCTTTGTTCATGCCTTCAGGGATTAAAAAACAAAACTCGTTGGCCCAGCTGACTTGCGCAAGACCCGATGGTACAAGTCTGCGCAGGTTGAGTGTACACATGTAATACCTTGCAACGCGTGTTGCAAATTACATGTTCACACCACACTCGGAGAAAAAAGAAAAGAAAAACAAAACAAAAACAAAAAACGATAAGCTCACAACACTACCCAGTAATTGTTACGTGCTGGACAAGCCAGCAACAGTTGCCCGAAACTCAAAAGCTGCGTGCCGGACCCTTATCCTTATCATCATTGCATCACCTTGTCTGTGTGCCGTGCTGTCTCGGGGGCGTTCGATTCGCAGATGCCAAGTCCCTGAAAGAAAAGGGGAACCCTTCTTTGGGGCTGGACCCACACGCTCACCACACAAAAAAAGAAAAGGGGGTGCCACTGAGCAACTGGGTCTAATGCACGTGTCAAACGCTTCGGCCAACCCTTTCAAACCAACTTGAACTGGCCATACAGTTGCAAATGAACCCTCCCCTAGGCTAACATGGAAGCTCCCAGGACCGACCTTCCTCTTGAAAGGGATGCCTGGTGGCTTCCATGTTCGACGAGAGGGTATTCGCTCTCAAGAACACCCGGCCTATTTTAGGAAAACCTGCTGTGCAGCGCGGGCGCTGGAACCAGGCATCCTCATCCGCGAAATCTAGCCGCTCCGAATGTCCTGAGCCACAAGTTCACTTGGTACATGAATGGGCGTTCGGGACAGATCCCAACACTTGTGGCCAACCTGGTGGGAGGTTCTTTTGGGACTTACTGCTGGGTTCCCTCACTAAAGTCACAGTCGCGGCGCGCTTCGCCGACCGCAAGGCTGCCAACAGTTGCTCGGCGGGTGCCATTCAACAGCCTGACAATTGACAGGGAAGAGTTTGGCCGCCAAAACGACTTTAAACAGTGGACGGGTAGCTTCCCCGGAAGGCAGCCCACCAAAAAAAAACGAGTGGTTGCCTCTTACCGTTTGTTTTGTATCTCAAGAAAAAGGCCGAGCCACAACCAGAAGACACAAAAGAGTGACCATCTTTCGCACCGCTGGACTTGCAGCCACAGAAGCTCATGACCACCAGCAGCTGTTGCCATGGCTTGCCAACGCACCCACCTCGGCGAGCGGCCTCCCCGGACCGAAAGCATTGGCAAATGGGACGCCCCCAATCAAACTCAACCAGGGGGAGGGGGTAAGGAGAAACATTAGCCCCTAATCACCGGCATGGTTCTCTTCCTAAGGAAGCTCAAAGAACCTTCTTAAGGTGTGCAGGGACTTTGGTTGCTTCCGATGCGTATATCCTCTTTAAACATCACCCCACCAAACAATGAAGGTGACCCACCAAAGTGACGATTGAATGACCAAAACGACGGGGCGGAGCGCAATTAGCATGGACGCTAAGCAGCTCGAGTTCCAGCAAGCAGAGAGCCTGGAAAACCGGGCAGTACCAAAAACCAACTTCCAATCACCGCAAACGCTCCCCCATAGACATCGAAGGCTTCGTCCCCTCTCCAGTGTGTGTGTGTGTGTGTGTGAAAGGGTATGGAACAGCTGCAGCCAAGGTACAACATGCCATTGCCCAGAATGGACAACAGAATTGCGGATGCGCGGTCACTGTGTCGTGGGCTGAGAAGGTCAAAAGGCTCTGAGTGCGGATCTGTCATGACTCTTGGTAAGCCTGCCCTGCAAGCCCACGCCCCCTTCATCTACGAGCCTTGTCGCGGACAGGCGGCAAGGTTGAAACTTGATGTGATTGGCGAACCAAACGCTAGCAAACACGCACGCACACACAGACACAGACACAGACACAAACACGGACGCAGACGCGGCCGCAGCCACACACACACACACAATCAGCACAATCCCTCTGCAAGAGCTCTGATGCCTGCCCTGGCCCACGTCTTTGCAAGAGTGAGGTCAAAACCGGCAATCCCGGGTTTCGCTGTCAATGAGTCCAGCTTGACCAGCTCCTTTCAAATGGAAACCAACCTCTTCTTGTCCATCAATACTGTGTATGGACGAAATCCTGTGTCAGTTGGGATGGATGAAACCCTGCCACACTCTGGACAACTAAAAACTACAATCCTCTCTTGGCTTGGGAAAGCTCCGAAAGCTCCGCAAGCTCTCAGCTGTTTAAAACTTAGTTCATCTCCCCCCTGCCGCCGGTTGGAGCAGGGCAGGAGTCCCCGGAGTCGCCCCATGTCGCGGCTGGGCCCACGGGCCGGGGCCCGGCCAAAGAGAGCTCCATGAAGGCTTGGAGCCATGCCTCCTGTGCCTCCTCTCGGATTTCTGATTTGATTCCCTCTTTGGGCTTGGTTTTTGAAGAGAAACCAGAGGAGACCGGAATTTTGAGGCTCGGGTATGGAGGGGCCCTCAAATTCACAAAATGAGAGGTTTTCCGCTGGTGTCCATTCAACACCCCGAAATCCGCACTAACTCCCCCTACCCGCGCTGTTCGCCTTTGCCTTCACAATCCAAAAGTCGCTTCACATTGCCCTTCGTGCGGCCTGGGCAAAAACAGCATTCCAGACAAGACTCTACCACCTTCTAAAAGCACAGGAATCTTCTAAATCAGCTGGTGTTTGGGTGATTGTTTGCATCCTTGCCAAACCTGGGCCATGCGGGCGTGATGCCAGAAGCTCGACGTGGCGCGTGTATGCCTGGGCTTGAGCGTGCTCGACTGGAGCACACTGCTGGAAGAAAGTCAGTATTTTGAGGTATTGTCGTGATGTCGACACTGGATTAATCAGGGGAGTGTTCCCCAAAAGCTGTGTTCCAACTTCGTTTAGATGCAGCAGGTTTACTCATGGGTTCCCACTTGGCACGTGCGATCAAGGTCCCGAGTCCTGGTACGAAATTGGCCAAGCATCAGACTGCGCACCTGCGGCTCCCGAGGTACATCTGAGATCCCCGTGAAAGTTTGCCATATCCGAGCATGACGCGTAAACGACAGGGCCAGCCTCGTGAGAACTGCTGCAGCACACGTCATGACACAGCAGTGCAACCATGAAACATAGCACACCAGCATGCACACATCCCAAACCGCACTTCCGAGGTTGACTGACTTGAACAAACTCCAAAAGAAAGCGAGAAACCAGCACCTGACTCGTCTTCGGCCGGCGGCGCCGCGTCCCTGCAGGCTGCCGAGCTCGAGTTGCGGTTTGGGATTGCCGAAGGCAACAAGCCCATCTCTCCAGAACCGGACCTGAAATGCTGAACTCTCTGGGCTTCAGCCTGCCCCCTTCATGAAACGTCCCAACCAAATATGTTCCTTTTGGCTTCCCTTTAACCCAAGATGAAACGGTTGCCCTCAACTCACAAATCGAGATCCGCACTCTCATCCTGCCTGCCGCGGGAACACCTGCAGCCACGGCAGCCAAACAAATCAGCAGGTCGTGTTCGCTTCTTTTCGTTCCTTGCCCACGTTGCTATTCTTGGTGGCCGTTGCCTACACGAAGAAGAAGCTCAGAAGCGCAGCGAATTTCAAGGTGCAAACAAGGAATCCTTGTTGGTTGGTTCATTTTAAAGGGGAAGGTTTCCCAAACGAAGGAAAAAACTACTGGGCGACTGCGCAAATTGGCGATTCATCAGCCAGCCTCGCGCACTAAGCTCGATGCATGAAAAAGGGCAACCCCAACCCGTCTTTTATCCTGGGCTTCTCTGGCACCACCCTTTACTATTTCTGCTGTCCGCGCGCAGGGTGTTCGCCGGTTATGTGTCCCCTTACCCTCCGAAAGGTGACCCATTCAGCGATTTTGGATCTGCCACGGGTGAGAGAGGCAAAAACACACCTTTCTTTCAGCCTTGCCAAGTTCGCGGGTGAGACATGCGGTGAATTTAGTGACCTCAAACTTTTACATCCCAGGCACGCCGCTTGAAACGGCATGCCTGGGCCAGGGCATGGGCAAGGAAATCAACAAAAAGTCAGACTGTATCTGAATGCTTGCAACATCCTCAAGCATGGTTGGTACATATCGCTCTCTCCATGTTGCCTTGATTCGATTCCTTGATCTCCCTCAAAGGGCCCACCTTTTGGTTTCGCCCCATGAAGGCTCTCCGATCCTCAGCCTACCAATTACCAACTACCTGCGCACGGAATTCCTCGGCTCCCTTGGGGAGCTGCGTCGGCCTCACGCAGCGGCCACCTGAACGCGTTCCCGGGACGACAGCGCTAAAGTTTTGGGACACCATGTGTGTTGCACCTCTGAGAGCGTACCAGGGTTGGGCAAGATCTTGTTTAAACAACCAGGCCCTCGCAACCTTCGAATGGAAAACCACAAGGAGGTTCCTTGAACAATAGGTTCTTAAACATCTTGAAAGAAGGTGTTGAATCGCCCAACCCCGGGGCTCATTGGCATTGGCCCAGCTTGCCCCACGTTTTTTGGATCAGTGGCTGAATCAGTGGTGAGTGGTCTGGCTCAGTCAGCCGTGGGAGTGCCATCTTCTTCAACCCCACTGTGTTTGCTGGGGCCACCCTCTGCATCCCCATCTGCTTTCCAAATGTGAAAATAATGCTTCTTCGATGTGGCCCCATATCAATCAGCCAATGCAGTGCGCCTCATTGGACCGCTTCCTGCGCCCCAGCCTCCTCTTCCACCTCCTCAGGTTCCTCCGGTTCTTCTGGCGGCGGGGGGTCCTGAGCAACGCGGGCGGAGGTGTGCTACCAAAGTTGCCGCCTCAGTTGGGCAAGGGACCAGGGAATTAAAAGGCTCACCTTCTGGAGCCATGACTAAAATTGACCAAATTAGGAAAGCTCAAAGGTCAACAGATCGGCTTCGGGCAACTGTCAAATAGAAGGCCTGTGTTGTTGCTTGTTGTGTCTTCTCTTGGTAGCTTCCTTTTGGCCAATGAGCTGAAAAAATCCATACTGCAACCAAAAAAAAACACGTCAAGAATACGGGGAAAAAAGTCCAGGATTGCACAAGGGTGCCAAGATTAAAGAGCTCCTAATCCCTTGCTGGCACGGACGCCACGAGAAACGTGGCCTTGAAGCCGCCCCTTCCCCAGAGGGGCAAACCAATAAAAGCCTAGGTGCAGAAACGCACCTTTAGCAGCTCATGTTTTTATCCCGTTCAGCGCCAAGAAACCCAACAATGCCCAAAGCTTCCAAATGTTCCCTGCTGGACTGGTGCCCACCATCCCTCCCCCACGCCTGAGGCCCCATGGAGATTTGCCCCGGCTTTGCTTCAAAGAGCTGGCTGGTCCGCTGCACTGGCTCGCCCCCCAGGCGAAGCCTCGAAACTGGAAAGGCTTCACTCACTCGCCTCTCACGGGTTGCCTGAGAGCAAAAACGGCAAGCCACCTTCACACACATACACACACATACGAGCACACACACACACAGGCACACAAGCCAAAAGAAGGGGGAATCCTTGGGCCCGCGATTTTCCGAGTGGCCAAGAGAAACCTTGCACGTTCTTGGTTGAGAGGGTGCCCTTGCGGATCCCTCATGTGCTGGGTGCTCAAGCAGCACATAATCTCTCATTTTGCCAGGGGGGTGAACAGTGTAATTGTCCCAGACCCCCTCTGCATCACCCAGCTAGGCATCCTATTCCTTCCAAAAACTCCTTGAAAGAAAGTTCAAAACCTTTCCTGGGAGTTCACTTCTCATCCCCTTTACTTACCCATACCGGGAATTGTGCCATCTACGTTCACCCTGTAATTTGCATATGATGAATGCGTCCGTGGTTTCCACTACGCCCAAACCACAACAGAGGTTTGTTCCATGGGATATACAACTACTTTACAGGCCAGTAAAATCCCGCTTGCCCCTAGGGGCTGGTGGAAGCTGGCCATGGAATGCACCGAAACGCTCGCTAGCTCGCAGATCGCTGGCTCGCAGATCGCAAGGGTTTTGGCCATGAACCTCGCGATCCTCTAAGTTGCTTTCCAGGCGGCACCACGCCATGCGGCCAGCCCTCCGCAATCCGTGGCTCGTTCTCCTTGAGCCAAGTGAACCTCATGGGGTACAGCGGGCATTTCTCAAATTGTCGTGGGATATCTCAGCGGGGGGGGGGGGGGGGGATTGGGAAACACGAGGTGCCATCTTTGCCAGCTCCTTCCCACACACTGGCTGGGCAAGGAAGCAAAGGTCGCTTTTGGAATACCCTCCCTCACTTGGCTTCGGGGTGCCGCCGGAGGTCGGGGATCTGGGTTACGCCAAGCCGCACGCGGTCTTGCAGCTGCTCGATGGCGTCGGCTGATGACAGCTGGATCGGTCCAACCGGCACCGGGTTACCAGTGCCATCGTCGATGAGGATTCGGATCTTGCCCCGGCGAATCCTGGGACGTAGCTGCCGACCGTGCCCCCCCCCCCCAAGCATTGCCCACGGCCATAGGCCTTCTAGCCTTCCTAAGGATTCGCGATTGCTCTGGGTGGGGAATGCCTTGAGACGGTCCATGCGAGCACGGCACAAAATGACGTCCCAACAAAAGCGGGATGACAGGCTGTCCCCCTACCGCAAACCAAGCGGTCTCAATGGGTTCGCTGCCCAAGTCGCTTTTTCCGAAACCAAGGCTCTGCATCTCCTCGAGCCGCAGCTTCTGCACCTCCGCGCTCTTCGCGCGCTGCGCCTGAGGAGCTTGGAGCTGGTTTGTTGCTGTCCAGGGCTCGGCGATTCAGTAGACATTCTCAAACCATGGATTTTCAAGGTTCCAGCTGTTTAAACATTTGGGCACGAAACTCAAAAATACCGGAAATCGCCTTCTGCCCCCCCCCCCCCCGCCTCCAGGCCCTCTTGCCAGGCCTGCTGTTGCCTCGAAAGCCCCTCCGCGGCGATGATGTCGATCTGGTCGAATCAAGTCAAGTGGAGTGGACTTGGTTTGTCAACAGGGCAGGGCCTTTTTGGAATGTCATTGTGTGTGGTGGAGCAAAGCAACAACAAAAAACGGCCTGAAAGGGGACCATAACTGTGACAACCGAATTTCGTTTTGGGGTGCGATCGTGGGAAGAGGAGGGGGGGCACGTGCACTGCAAACGCGTGGCTCTCACTTGTCCAAATCTGCAAGCCCAGAGCAAAATGCGGCATTTGGGTCTGACTCATGTGCTTGGGAACCGAAAGCACCAACTCGCAAAAGACAAGCCCATCGCTTTCTTCGGTACGCCCTTTCAGGCCGGGTTGAGGGGCACCCGCGCACATCAACATCTACTATAGGGAATCACCCATGAAAACCGGAGACCTTTTCCTCCGTGTCCCATTCCCGGAAAATCCACTCCAAAAGCACTCGACAAACCCGTCCTGCTGCCGGGCGCGGCTCAGCGACGCCACCTCCTGCTGGACCTTCTGGAACAAACTCGGCAGGAAGTGCCTGGCGCGCGCTTTCTCCGCGCGAGACGCGCCAGCGGATCCGCGCTAAAGAAGCAAAGGCTACCTGGACCCTCAAGCTGCCCTCAACAATGAGATATACATACATACATACATATAGATAGATAGATAGATAGATAGATAGACAGACAGACAGACAGATAGATAGATAGATAGATATAGATCTATGTTTGCCCAAAATGATGCGGTGAATTCCCTCTGTGAGGAGTTTGAGGGCCCAGCCAAGTTCTGCACAACTAAGCTAGCCTTCCTACAAAGTATACTGCCGAGTTTACATGGCAGATCCATGTTGTCTTTCTGGACCCAGACTCTTGGGGGGAACACCGAACACACCCAAACGCGAGATTCGGGCAAAAGTTTGCTAAGCAGCACCATAGGGCATATCACAACACCTGGCCTCACAGCACAGTTTACTGCGAACGTCTACACCATATATTGATAGACCCTGGCTTTGTCTGAATCCCCGCCCTCCAGTGACCATGCGAACAAAGGCACCCTGTTTGCTTGGCAGTTGATTTTCGGCAAGCGCCCTCGGTTAAAAAGAAACAAACACAAAAAACCAACAAAACAAAAAAGGGGAGAAAAAAAAACCGAGCATCTGCGCTGCATCGCCTCTGGATTGACAGGCCGCGGTCATCTGGGAAGGCCAGCTCTCTCAAATCTTCCGCCGCGTTCGGCACGATGCTCGCCAAGTGCGCTTTCGCTGCATGCACGGCCTGGATCCTCAGCTTGCTAGGCAGCTAACATCAAGTGTCTGGATTCTTGGGAAGGCCCCTGTTTTGGAAAGGCCAGTTCACTTCCATGCTCCGTGGGCAGCTTGAATTGGCTCCTCCTCATCTGACCGGAGCCCATGACCAACCAACCAAATCAAACCGATCAACAAAAGCCCACCAAACCAGGCAAAAGAACAAAGACGTGGACACAATTCATCAGATCCGCCAAATCGTGGCGAGAAATACAGCCCAAAAAACGGCCAGGGAAAACGCAGACTAAGGGGTGATCGTTCCCTCTTGAAGGTGAATCCTCAATTGGACACGTTCGATCAATCCCAGGATTACCTTGAAAAGGGTAACATCTAGTTGTAGGGGCCGAGCCCCACAAGCCATTCACGCCTGTCCAAATCCATGCGAGGGTAGAACATTCAGGAAACAAATACGGGGATGGCGAAGCTTGAAGGGGATCTGGGTCACTTGTGAGGGAGCAACCGGATTAATCGACTTGTCAAATAAAATTTGGGTGCCCCGAAAAGTACTTTGGATGCCCTCGAACCGCTACTAAATCACCCACCTACCCACCCACCCACCCGCCCCAGCCCACCCCAGACCTGGTTCCTACTACTCGCGATGCGGTGTGTGTACCGAGTGTCATCCCTTTACTACAATACATTCTAGCAAATAAGGATCTTGCTCGCATCAGCAATTCAGGAACCCTGTTTATGCGAACAACTGACACACTTCCAGTACTGGCCTGTCAATTTGGGGGAGGGCCTATGGGACCCAGCCATTTTTTCTGGACAAACTCGAGGGCCCAACCAATTCTCCAATTGTTTGCCTTGGAGCCAAGCCTTCCACAACATTGAAAAAGGAAAGAGTGAAACAACCGCCAGGCGACAGGTGTAATCAAGCGCATTTTCAGGTATGTTTTGGGAGGTATAGATGCTTCTTTACCACTAACACAAGCTCCACCAATACGTTTAAAGCGAACATGTCGAAGGGTTCTCAAAAGTTACAGGAGCCAAACCGAGTCGAAGCGATTCGAGTCGAGGCGCTTCAGCAGGACCTCGGCCTCGCGCTGCTTCTGCGCGCGCTGCTGCGCGAGGGCCGCCTCCTTCTCGCGCCAGCGGACCCATTCCTGGCAACGAAGCAACCCGCCCGGCTGTGTGGGACGAAGCTGCCCGTCGAAAAGGTCGGTTCGGGAAACCCAGAGTCAGCTTCCCTTGAATGGTGGTTTGGATTGGTGGTTTGGAGGTTAAGGGGGTGGCTTCTCATTTAGCCCCTGCAAGAGGAAGAGATTCAAACCCCCAAAACCACCAACTAAGGTTACATGAGCTATAAAGCCAGTTTAAAGTGAAACCCCACAGGAAAAAATGGCCCGTAGTGGCACGAAATGGCTGATAGTCACAAGTAGTCGCTCATAGTTGCTAGCCACCACTGGGCTGAAATGGTCCATGGTTCCCTTACGAAGCCTGCGAATTAAGTCGTCATTTCTTGGGGGAAACTCCTTGTGGGTCATAGTTGTGGAAAAGCGGGGATCGACATTGTCTTTCTGCTATTCCCAAGGAACCAAATCTATGGAGGGTAGGTAGCCTTTTGGGGAGAGGAAACCAAGAGTTGGTTGTGATACTGTTGGCCCACCAACCGAGAATCAACAAAGCGGTTGTGGAAACAAACTTCTTGGGCCCACCACCATGAAGCTTTCGGTGGAAGCTGTGCGGCTTTGAGAGAGGCATTCTGGTGGACAATCACCAAAACAAGCCGTCTCTACACTCCTTTCGGGGGACCCCTTTTTGATACTCACAGGATCCCTTGGCATCACAGAAACTGGTAACCTACCCCCCCCCCTCCGTCCCACCGAAGTCACGACAAAAACAAAGTGACGTCGCGGTGACTAGAAGAAGTGTTTTCCACCGTGAAAGTAGAACAGTGCAATCCACACTCCAACTTAAACTTCCTGGGCCTTGGCTCAAATGAAGAGAAACCGAAGGAGTAAGACAAGGCGGTGACCTAAAATCTATGAACGCCTTGAGGGACACAAAATGAACGAACATCCACACCATGCAAAAACTCGATGATATTTGTGCGTTGGTCGTAACTGGAAATCCTAGGGAAATGCGCAAGGAAAGGGACCATCTCAATAGATGTGGACCTCCTTAAAAACAACTCAGCAAATTGCAAGATCTTGGAGATTGACTGGCCCCATGTGAATGCCGACCCTGGATTCATCAACCGGTGGGTCAGCGAGGGAGGATTCCCTAACCGTTGACAATAGGCAATTTGCACCCATGTTTCATGCATTTGCACCCGTATTGTTCTCATCGCCCGTTTTTGCGTTCGAGTCCTCTTCCACCTGCTCGTGCCATGCTGCCATCATCTTCCTCTGCCTGCGTTCGTGCAGGTCTGGGCCATTCATACAATCCACCTCCTCTCCCTGGTGTTCTCCGAACTTAATAAGACCTTCAAAGAGGGGGCTGGGGTAAGAGGTTTATGATCTCAGCATCCGTTTCTTAACCTAACCTTTACGCCAACGTCTGGGTGCCGCAAAGGACGGAGAACGATTCCAGCTCCTATTCGCAGAACTCTCTCCCCACGGTGACCCATGAGTTTGACAAATTGGCCTGTTGTTTTGAAGGTACCATTTCTGGAGTGGTTTGCAGGGAAAATAAGGCGGAACCACCATATTGGGCAGTCCCTATGTTTAGTCCGAGTCCCCTGACAAACTTGCAACCAGCCTCTCATACCACTCGTCCTTGAAGTTATGCATTGTGCTGAGCTCGTGCTCCTCTTCCACTTCCATGATGGACTGCTCCAGCGTCTTCATCACCTTGGCTTCCTCCCTTCCACTTAGGCACTCGCGCAGACTTCCATCCTGTGCGTGAACCACAAAACAAACATTCGAGCAAATTAGCGCTTCCGCAATCTGTCCCAAACGCAGTTTCTGGCCAGAGAAAGCTCGACCTCCTCTACTATCAACGAAGTCCTTTGCAGTGAAAGGGAAACATTCAAGCTCCAGACTTTGATGCCGGACACAAAATCGGGGCTTGAACATAGAGTCCCAACCTCTGAGACCAGGGGCCCGCGCATGTCATGAAATGCCTTCACGTATGGTGGCTTCCTTTGGTTTGCACGGGGTGAAGTCGGCACTCTCGCCAGTCCTAAATCTGGGCATCCCCCTTCGGTGGAATGGCTCGCAACGTTGCACAAGCACTTGGGTGACCTGTTGGGTGGGCTTTAACAAATGGGTTCCAAACAAATGCCAAAACGAGGATCCCCAGGTCCATTTCCAAGACTCCCTCTTGGCTATGAATTACGGTGATGGCGGGACATGAATCCCCGCCGAATTTTGATGCCCACCAAAGGGCCTACAAAACTCCTGCCCTGACCCCCTACTGCGGACGAGCATGAAAGCACAAGCCCAAGAAGCCAGGACGTCCAGGATGGGCTCCACCTCGCGGTCGAAGTCGAAGAGCTCCCCGTCCTGCCCAGTTCATCAAAACCACCCACGAATAACCTACCAAAAACAGCCCCCAAAGAAAAATAACAGAGAAAAAAGAGAGAGGAACATTTAAACACTAATCCTGCTACATCCGATGATTGACCACGCAAAGCATTGACTCGCTGATTGTCTGAACCACTAATGTTGACCCCGGATTCACCATCCTAGTGGATTTATGCGCGTGTGCTTCTGCAAACAATGATCAGAATCGCCTCTCAACCAGGGGTTGGTAATCACCTGGATTTCCCATCAATTCACTAAGCTTCAATGCTTCGTGCCTATGAAATGCACGGGATAGCCATGGCTTTCTGAAGCGGATTCCAAACAACGTGACTGATTGTCTCCCTTTGGGGAGGCCATGCTAGTGCTTAGGAGTCCTGTGGGTGTCCCTTTTCCAACCAAAACGCTGCTGGCAAAGTCTCCAAGTGTCAATGTGCACAAAAATGCATCCGTTAAGCAGCCCAACACAGGACCAGCCCGAACAAGCGCCGCTGGCCATCCTCCACTTGAGTCGACGCGTCGATGCCCGTCCTGCATGCACTATGGTGCAGGACAGGGCGCCGGACCCCACTTCCCGGGCGTAGGCAAGACCCCCCAAGGTGACAAAAAAGGGATCAGCTTTTGCCGGTAAATTGGCCCTGCCATGCCCCTGGAAGGAAGCAGCTCCCAAAGCTCTAAAAGGGGAATTTGGACACCCCCAGCTCCCGTGGCTCCCTTCCACCCACCAGCCGATAGTGCAGCGGAATCTCAACCAACATTGGCTCAAAAGGCGATGTCTAACACTACGCAGAAAAAATGCATTCCAAAAAGATGAGGGAGAAGCCGTCGATTGAAGTGCCAGCCGAATTACGCATCCTCCAAAAACAAACAAAAGCAAACTAGGACGGGTTTTGGGAAAGCAACCCAGCAGCAGCTGCTTTGTGTGTAAACCATACTGTCCGCTTCAGTTTCAACTTATCATGCGTCGCTTGCGCACCATCATCACGCCACCCGTCCCCCTTAGGCGCCTTCCGAGACCTATTTCCGCCACATCAAGCCCCTTGTTGGACGGCAGTCTACGTGGGGATCTGTCGGGGGCCTATTAAGAACCTCTATTGCCATGTTCCCCCCCCCAAGGGGCTGCCGCGTTTCCGCTCCTCTGCGGTTGGTACGGGGCCGGCGGAGGCTCATCCAAGAACTCGTCCGTCTGCAACTCGACCTCTTCCACCTGCAGCGCGGTCGAGATACGCGAAGGGGTTCTTCTTGGACCCCGGCCCAGGCTACCTTCACCTAGCTAGTCGTCGGTCCGAAGTGTCAACCTGTGGGCGGGGTCTGGGTCCACGGCTACCTCAAAAGTTCAGCTTCCCCAGTCCAAACCACCAACTAGGGTTTCCCAAAGTTTCCGCCACCTTTGCCTTCCCAAAGGGCTGCGCTCAAAAAGACACACCCACTTGCTCGGCTCATTGGGGCCCATCAGGCTGTTGCCCCCGCCAAGGTCATGAGCCCAAAACCTGCTGACTTTGGACTAAACAGGGTAGCGTGCAAAAGCGACCCATCGGGGTGGGCGCTCAAACGGGCTTGTGCATTCTGGGGAAAAAACATGTATTTTTGTGTGTTTCCTCTTAAACAAATCTAACAAAGGGCTAACCCTCAAAAGTACCACATATGAAAACATACACATACACCCTCACAAACACCTTAACTGCACCAAAAACTGCACACATACTGTTGAAGAGCTCCCCCACCCCCACGAGTGGCTCCCGCCTTCAGCGGCGCTTCCTGGGCCACGAGGTGTTTGGTGAGATCCACCGCCACACGCTCGTGCTCTGGCAGCGGCATGTCGAAGATGGACTTCTCCTCGCCGTGTTTTCTGTTTGTCTCTCTGCGATGTTCCTCTTTTTGATTGTTGTCGCTTCTGGGGGAAATGACAAAAGAGATTGAAAGTTTGATGGACAGTTGACAGATTCAGGTGGGACATATTCCGACATGTGGTAAGTGAGCGGAAGGCTTCGCTTCCTCAGGCCCAGGTGCATTGGCCTCTCCCAAGGGGTCAAGTAGCGGAAAAATCGCAAACGGGAGATAAGGAATCCACCGGCAAGGGGGCAACAATGTATCCCCCAGGGTCTATTTGGAAACCACATTTGTTGGAGGAGCGCTTCTTGTTCTTAGGGTTAATGGGTTTGTCTCAAAACTAGGAAACCCCCAACATAAGCGGCTTTCTTAAACCACTGCAAAATGAATGCCCTCTTAAACAGACATGTCCCAGTGATGAGCCCCAAAAGGACCGCCCAGTCCCCTCCAAAGCGTCCTTGGGCTTGGGTCGCTTCCTCGGCGGCTTGATCGTCTGCTGGGCTGACTCGATCGCCTCCCCGAATCGATCGATCGATTCGGACCGGGCTCTCCGCGGGGTGCGGAGGGCTGGTCAGGTCTTTAAACGCGCAGCCTTGCGAGAAAACAAGACAGGCATTGCTCAGTGGTCGGCGCTAAAACTGTTTGCTTTCGAGCAGAACACACGCATATCAACCTTGCCATGACCCCCGAGAAGAACCAATGTACCTTAATGGAATTGGAAGACTGAAGTTAGCCGAGTTGTGATTCGCACGCGCTCAACCTGCATAACTCTGTTGTGTCACACAAGCGGTAGCATAGCTGCAGGGGCCCAATGCTAAATACATCCTTCTGTGGCTTACAGCCCTCGGTCTGACGAGCACATCGGTGGCACACAGCATAACCAGGGAAACCACTGTCATCTACTGCTGCAACAACATCCTAGGCTATCTGGGGTCATCCCAAGAGTCTCCAGCTGGCGCCGGGGTCATCCGGTGTGGCTAGCTCCTGCACGCAATCTGGCTCCTATGCCTTCCTTAACTATGGGCGAATCGAATCGCCATCTTTGCAGCATAACCCGCGACATTTTGGGCCTCCTTGATGGCATTCTGGGTGTACATGCTGTAGGTGTTGCCGCGGTGCACACGCTTATCCCAAGTGATGCATGTCTCCTTCACCTTGGAAAGCACCGAATCGCAAGGCGCTCAGGCTCCGGGACCTCGCGCTTCACATTATGTATTATGTGTTCTTTAAACACTATTATCTTAAGTTTTCATCGGAATAAAGGGAGGTTCTCGAATTCGTGGTTGCCTAAAAATACCGTTAAGCACCAACCAAACGGGGATCCATTTCAAGAAAAGCTCCAAATGCTTGAAGGCACTTGATTGAAACGCGAGGGCAAAACGGAACCCGGCCTTCCCCTAATGCCATGAACTGAACTTGTCCAGGGCTTCCCAAAAAGCGTCGAGTCCCGGTGATTTTCTTTTAGACCACCACGTTTTGCTGGGGCATTTTCTGAACGATGTGGAGTCTTGGGGTAGGTTTTTTGGGTAGAAAAGCAACGAAGCACAGTAAGCAACCCATGGGCCGAAATTAAATGGGTCCGTCTCAAAACTTGCGGACCTTAAGCTGGTTGGCTCCCCTTTGGCTTCCACGTGAAAACCAGCCAGGGGTGGCCTGCCTAAACTAACACATGCACGTCAGAGTCCCTTGAAGAATGATTTTGGGGGGGAGTTGTAACAACACATAACAACACTTTTACCATATGATTTAGAGAATCCCTTGTCGTGGATTTGCCTTATTGACACTCCAGTTCGCCCCATCTCTGGATCCATGGAAAATGCTCCGAGTGACCAAAACACGATGATGGAGAAATTGGTTTGGTCTCCTTTTGCAGTCCTTTACCATCCGTTTTCAGGATTCTACGTGGGCCAATGAGAGCGAGCAATCCCACCGACCCAGAGTATAACAAACTTGGCGATCATCCCCAGTTTGCAGCGGGTCACAGTCTGATAATTAAAGGGGCGTATGTCAAAAAACACATGTTCGACCCTGTCAAAAGACCCTCTTGTCCCCCGTGGGGGCTTGCCCAAATTAGGGGCGTTGTTGGTACCTTTAAAAGGCAGCAAAACGGGTCCGAAAACGCGGGAGTCAAATGTTTAACAAGCCACCCTTCTTTCCAAAACCTGAAAAGGGAATCCAAGTAAAAGTGCAGGATCTGTCCCATGGCCAATCGCTCGTTTGCCCGCGAATACGCTCGAAACCGGCCTTCTAAGGCGAGTTTGTGCCCCCACAAAACCGGCGTTAACGAACGCCACAAAAGCCCAGCAAGTCCAAGCCGCAAGTCACTGTTGAATCAACCCGTACCTGACCCGCTGACCAGTTCCAGAGCCCCCCCCCCCGTTTGGCGTCTCGCTTCGCTTGAGGCGAAAGCGCGGAGCGGTAGAGCCCGGCGGACACCTCCCCGGGCTCGCGGTACTTCCGGGCGGTCACTGCCTTGGGCGCTGAGCTGAAGGAGTAGGCCGCCGGCGAAGCCGAAGGCGTCGCCATGGCGCCTGGGCGACGGAGCCCCAAAAAAAAAGGGCACCCTGGGTTGCTAAACTGGTTGATATTCACCGGATCCGGACCACTTCTTTGGGGAGAAACACCCGGGACACGTTTTGGAAGTGCGGAGGTGTCTGTCTAGCTGTTGCACAGCTTATGCTGGTGGCATGCAAGCCTCTGTATCTCAACATTGTGCTGGTGCGAGGTTTAACACAGCAGCAAGTGGAGAACAAGCTGAAAGCTCTGGTACTTGACAATGAGATCGGAATGACTCTCCCACATTTAGAACATTTAGGAAGTCAGCCGTAGCTCCATTTGCAGCACAGATCGATGCCCCAAAAGTTTTGTGTCGACCAGCTCGGCCTTTCAGCAGCTCTTTGGGCAATCAAACATGTTCCTGTCCCCATTTGGTGCTATTAAACATCACTTGGTAAGGAAGTGAGCTTCCTTTGATGTGGGCGATGTTTCAAGGGAAAATCCAGCAAAAACCTCAAAGTCGGCCCCGAACTGGTTTTCTCAACCTGGGATCCCCTCTCAAAGTCGGCCCCGAACTGGTTTTCTCAACCTGGGATCCCCCTACTTGTGGACAAAATCCTTGGGACTGGGGGTGTGGCCCCTGCATCCTGGGTTCCCAGTGCCATTTGCTGCCCAGTTACAGGGCCAAAAGGCCCAACTCGCCCCAGGCACAGCCCTCTTGACTGACTTGGAGCTAACACAGGCTGGCGGCGAAGTGGTTCCACCAATTGCTTCATCATGGTGTGGTCTGTGATGTTCCGTGTGTTTAGACGTGTGCATATCTATGTGCGTGTGGGTGTGCAAGCGAGCGCCTTCGCGCGCGTTTATGTGGTTTCCTGTCCCTGCGTGCTGCACGTGCGCCCGGCAAGTGTTAGGCACGGTGCAAACTTTGGGGTTGGAACAGAACACCAGCATCACGATGCCAACACCTGCAGACATGCTAGCAGAGACTGGACCGCTGCAATTATGTACAGGAGGCCAATTTATTCCATCATCTGATGCATAAACCTCTGATATTAAAGATCCCTTTTTCAGCCGACTGCCAGACAATGCAACTTTATCATTGAAGGCACCCAAGTTTTTGCAAAATGAGCCCCCCTATTCCAGGGATATACAAATGTTGTTTTTTTCTCACAAGCTTTTGCCGATACCGCTAGCCGGAAACAGCAAATGCCGTATTGCATCATGTGTAACAAATCAAGGTTTGACAAGCTCATAAAGTGTACCCCCTTTCAAGGTCGGCAATGCAAACCCCGCCTGACTAATCCTGCCACTCTCCTAATGTGGGGAGAAAACACGGTTCCCTTCACCTTCCCTCCTATGTCTGTCCTATTGGACCGGCTGGAGAGGACCTAACTAGGTGCCCCAGAAAACGGATTTCTTGTGCTGGTGGGATTACGTTTCTTGTGGGATGATACCCAGGACTTGTATTTGCATTTTGTGGCGGCTGGTTTAAACAAAAAATGTGCTGATTAGAAACAAGGGGTGCACACGAAAGATGAACCTCGGCACTGTTTTGACACAAATGAATCAGGAGACTGGTAAAACAACAAGTTGCAGCGGCAGGTTGGCAGAGTTAGTTGGCTTCTAAAGCACCTAACGTGTTCCAAACCGGTAGCCCCTCCAGGTTCGGTGCTCCGACTGTTGACCGATCACTGCCCATTGCTTGCCCTACCGTAAGTTGCCGAGAAGAAATCTGGAAAAGCAGCTGCACGCATGAATGCGCCACTATGCAAGCACCCAAACACGCGCTACCTCACCTCTCAACTCATCCAAATTACCAGCAAGTTCGCTGACCAACCCTTCGAGCCCCTCCCTGGACCTCCGCAGGATGGAGGAGTAGCACCGATTCAAAAGCGGCAGGTGGCCCCTCAACAAGGCGGCCAAAGTGTCTTTGAGCGGCTTTGAGCTGGGGGGGGGATTGGATTTCCACCCCGCCCGGTGCCAGGGCCACAGCCGCTGTCAAAGTATGCGGTTGCCATTGGGGACATTAGAACATGAAGTGCCCCCCTTGCTGTGGGAAATGGAATCGGGCGCCCATGTCCCTCCCAAATAGACCATGGGCTACTGCATGTGCCGACCGAACCACATGTATCGGCAATGCCGTTGGACTCCCCAAACGGATGTCATGCTGATTTCATTTGGTGACGCTCATCCCATGAGACCAGTGGTGATCATGTAAGTAGAACGGTTGACAACTCATGTTGGTTCTCTGTGAAAAGCGTCCTCAAGAACCCCTAGAACCAGCTCATTCTGGGACATTAGACCAACCACCATGGGGTCACTCCTTGTCCAACTAATGAATAGAAGTCTAACCACACAGACCGTTGCAGACTTCCTTCCTCATTTTTGTTGAGGGTAACCCCCCCCTCCATTTTGACAATGGTCTTTTCGCTGGAGGCTCCAACCCATTCGCGCAGTGCCCGCCGCTTTTCGTATGTAAGAAAAGGCCCTCTCCACAACTTAAACCGGCAGAAGCCCTATGGCCAGGAAGTGACCTGCTTGAAGTGACGCTGGAGAAGGCAAGTGTAAAAACTCTTTGGGCCTTTGGCCAAAACAAAGAAAAGACCAACAAAAAGCCGAAGTTTGCGACCCCCCCCCCAAGGCTCACACCAGAACGATGCCTGAGTTGTCAACCCAGAGCCCTGCGGCGACAAGGGCCACGGGCAAGAGGTTAGTCATATCCAATCCATGGACTTGGGCACGGGGTGTTAGTGCTACATAAACCACCTACGTTAAAAACAAATGGAATCCTCCAAATCCGCTGGTAGAAGTGCTGCTATGTGTTGTAATCTGGCCCAAGTGCTCAAATGTATCGTTTCAGGGGCCCAGGCAAAAGTCCCTCAAACATCAACATAGAAGAAGACCTAGATGACCGCCGTCCATGGCGGCCTAAGACGGCGTTCACTATCGAACCCCTACCCCGTTGTTTGGAGAAATCTTAGATTTGGAGAAAAAGCAGGGGCCTGATGAAGGATCACTTCCTGGGTAGATTGTCCAAAAGCACCAGAATGCTGTGGTCTACAAGGCAAACATGTACTCCGGCTAGACTGACTTGGCTGGCATACGAGAAGAGCCTGAAAGATTTCGCCACGATAATAGAAAGCAATTTTCATCATTGAGCATTTCTGCGATCAAAACCGAGTTGGGCCCACTTTGGGACGGCAACAAAGCTTCGCCGGAAGTCCAGCGGGACCATAAGACGAAATCGCCTTCGAGCTCCCGCTCGATTTGCTGAAGCCTGGCAAGCGAAATCCACCGGAATCGGGCCCGGTGCATGCAGTTTGCATCTCCTTCTGTTGACTCGTTTTGGCCGGTTCTAAAATCTCTGACTTTTTTGCACGGACATCCTGAAGCGCTCCTGTCTCTCCAAAACAATATTTTTTCCTTCAACACGACTGCGCTCCACCACTTTGGGTCGGCGTGAAGGAGCACGGCACCCAGACTTGAGACCATGAACCACTTGAGCTTGTCTGACAAGGGAAGCAGCCAAGATGAGTGCTTTTCCTCGGGATTTCCTTAGCAACCAAAACAACAAAAAAGCAAAGCACCCTCTCAAAAAATGCACCCCATTTGCCCGTTTAGGTGCATCTAGGCACAGTGCAGCTGCTGAGCGAACAATTCGCTCGCCTGCAGAGGAACCCTGGAGAATATTGCGGCATTGCAGGCAGTGGCACTGTCGCTTTGCCGGGCTGGATCTGTAAGGGGTGCTCACTTGAAAACGCGGGAGATGCGATGCCACGATGCCACGCTGATTGCATCGGCCACTTTGGGCCGAGTGAAACTAGGACATGGTGACCTGGCCTCTGGTGGGTTCAGAGCAGACGGCAAGGCTTCCTTGGACGAGGCAGCACAGCTTTGGACGAGCCAGGAACCTGCATCCACAGAGTACAAGACAACAGTATGCTGTGTTGGGTTTTGGGGGTTGCCTTTTGCGCGCCGCCTTTCAAAGGGGTTGCCTACAGTCGCCATCTCTACTCTTGGTATCTTAGCAAAAAGCTTTGTTTTTTGCAGACCCGCAGTAAAAATGAACAGAACCAAAAAACAAAAAAAGACTAAAAAACATGCCAAGAACAGTGAAGAGTCCTCTCAAAGCATCACCTTCAAAAGGAACCCTTTCAAAATAAGCCCGACAGCACCCCTCGAGCGTTCAACTCTCTTGGACAAATGGTAACCTAAGGCCAAAAAAGGCCTACCCGGAGACTTATACAAATCAATCATCTTTTCTACCTTGTGGTAGAACGAATTGCACCGAGTTTCCTTTGTTTGGAGTGCGATCAACTACCAACAAAAGAAAGTCTACCTTGGAGATCCTTGGAGTAATCCACCTTGGGGCAACCCCAAAAAAAAGTTTGCTGCAGCCCTTGCCAAGCAATGATCAAAAGCAGGCAAGCCAACAAACAAGTTGTACACATAGACCGGCAAAATGATGTCAGGCTTACGGGAAATTTCCACAACTATGGCTAGCCCTTGTGGACCAAAATAAGCCTCTACCGTCACCTCCAAGAAACACAAATTACCCTCTTTCCAACAATCATGGAAGTAGACCAAAAAGAAGGTAGTCTTCCAAACCCCTCCTTTGAGCTTCGATGATTCTTGGAGGGAGGGTAGATCCAAGATCGAAGCTCAGCTCTGGACTTATCAAAAATGCACCCCTCGTCTCCCCTTGGCCAGCACGCGCGCCAGGCTCACCCCCTCTTGGGGGCGGCCGTTGCCAAAGACGGACGTCACCTGCTCCTCAGGCGCTTGAAGCGCCCCCAAGGCCGTCCGCGCGCGGCCACAAATACCAGGCCCTCCAAAAAAGGAAGAAATGGTTGGTTCTGTTGTCTGCTAGGTGTCCTTTGTTTCCACATGAAAAGAAAGAAGAACTCGATTCTTAGGTCTTTCTGTTTTGGAGGCTTATTCCGAACGCTAGCAGAAATTCCTTCTGGGGCTTGGTTTTGATTCTTATCCAATACTAAACTGCGGGATTCCTGGCCAAGCCGGGCCCCAGTCATGTTACGGGGTAGGTACAGGCATAGCCAGAATTGAAAATTTACAGTGTTACAATTGCCCCTACAATTGGGCCCGCTTCAAGGGATGAGTACATTGGGGGAGCCCGTCTGACCCCAAATTGCCGTTTGGCCCAAAGCCAACATTTATCAGTAGGGGGTTGAATATTAGGGGGAAAAGATTATGTGGCAGCCCCCCCATTTCGAGGTTGCAGGAAAACCCGTGAAACCCCACGGCTCCTTTGAGAAATCAAAAGTCCTTAGGACCAACCAGTAGTTGGACCACCTATTCGTGAAAAATAGGTGCACAAACCCCTGTTACCCACGGCTTTCCGATTTGCTCCGCGCTGACTGCACCGTGAGTGAGTGCTACGTGCTGCCGCGCCTTCTCGTGCGCCACTATAAACAGTGACAGTGAGAGGGGAGGAGGCCTTCCGGCCCTTCTCTGTTGTAGATTATCTGCTGCATTCTGCATTCTGGAACGTTTCCAAAAATGCATCAAGAACTTCAACTTGCCTACGCGACCTGGAGATGAAAGTATCTGCTTTTTTCCAGGGAGACCAAAAGGCTCAAAGATCGAAAAGGGCCCTGTTCGCATTGCTCGCCTTAGCCAAGCACAACTGGCCTGGACGCATTGGCCCGCAAGCTTCAACCTTCCCCAAATCCCGGTCCTTGGTCACATGCTTTTCCAGGGTCGTGCTGAGCCCCTGAAAGCGTCAGAGCCCGTCAGCTCTGAATGGGGCCACACAACTGGCCGTGGCAACTGGACGGGGGAAAGGGAAACCTGGTCGCTGATACTATGGCTTCTGCAAATCAAGCGGGCCCTGTTGATCTGGAGAGCTGATGCTGCGAGGAGCATGTTGCAGCACATCCACTCAACAAGGTTGACTCAACAAGTGTTATTCAGGGCTGATGTCCGCGATGGAAAAAAGGACATTTCCCTCGAACAGCAATCGGGCAATCCGGAACCTTCCCTCAGAGCTGTTCCGGACCACTCCAAAGCTTGTCTAGGCAAGGACCGCAAAACGTGACTTGCCTCCAGTCTTCGTAGCATAGCTTTCAGCTTCGCCTGTGCCGCGAGCTCAGCGGAAGAACGCTCTTGAAGTATTCAAGAAAACCTAGATGAAAGCCGTAAATTGTGCTCGTAGAAACAAGCATTCTTTGGATGCTTGTCACACCAACCGGAAACTTTTGGAAACGTTTGAATTGCTCTCAGGACCGCCAGATGGTTGATAAAAGCGGTTCTTTTCAATTGAAATCGCATCGCAGCCAGCCTTTGCATCCTGCGCACACCTCAGCTTTAGGCAAGCTGTCTGGGTCTGGGAGGCGCCTTGGCCCAAATCTGGCCCTCCCAAAGCTTACAAGCCTCAGGCTTCCCGAGGCCTTTCTTGCCGAGGGGGCCTCAGGAGCAACCCTGTGTGGCCTCGAGACTTTTGATTAACCAAGTCACCGTGGCCTTCAAAGCTTATGTAGGCCCCACCCCCGTGAACCCATGAAACCAAGCACCCACCAAAGTTTCACTGTGCGGAATTTTGGGCGCTCTGCGATGAGGTCGCTCAGATCTGCAGCTCAGGCACAGCCTCATGGCACCTGGGGGCACAAAGCTTCAGGCTTCTGGGAGCTCGCTTGCTTCCCTTTGGTCCCAAAAAACACCAACAACAACAAAAAACTCTGCAACCAAAAAAAAGTTGGAACGAAGCCGAGGAGCGCTGCTCATCCTGAAGCTGGTACTGCCGCATCTCGTGGATCTGCATCTCATCCTGCAACACCTCAAAGTGCGTGGGAAAAACAGCTTCGAGAGGTTTGCCCATGGCCCCTTCGGTGACGGGCCCCGAGCAAAATGTTGATGGTTTCCTCAAGGGGACATGGAAAAAATTGCTGGCCCAAACGACAAGGGATGGCTTCGTTGAGAATCATGCTGTCGACAACAAGTCCCAATGCTGAATTGTTGAACACGCCAAACTTGCTGGCCCTCTCTGGGCAGGGAATGTCGTAGCTTTGCGGGTCCCCTTCCAGCCGCCATCCCTCAGCAAAAGGCATGACTCACCTCAGCCCCGTGCTCCGTCCACCTGATCGCGAAGACCACCCACCTGATGCTAGCAGGGTGCGGGCTTGTTAAACCACATTGCCTGCTCATAGGAGAACATCTCTGTGCTCAAAGCAGAAAGTCGCGACGGTCCCTTACTCATGACCATACAGTGGATGCCAGAAAACCTGCACCAGCTGGGATGGATGAAACCCTATGAACACTGGGAGAAACCATCTGCCAACAGTTGACGCCATAAAGCAAATGGTTTCAGCCTCTTCAGGCGAAGGGGCACTCGTCTTCAGGATCTCCACGATGCGGACGGTACTCTCCTTCAGGCCTTTGGAATGAGCCCGTGGCCAACCCGGGGCGTTGCTTACGGAGGTTAGTGTGGGCTGTCGGGGGAAGATTCAGCCTCCTGGAGGGCTGGGACCCAGACCCGCTCAGTTGCCAAGGGTCTGTGGGACTTGAAAGGGGAAACCCTCCATCTTCACTTTCTTAGAGAGGTGCCGGGAAGGTGCCACTCAATGTGAAAAGTTCACGGTTCCTGACCTCTCCTTCAGCAATTCCATGTGCGAGGGTCCGGGACTCCACTGATCGGATGCTTTTGGCGGCATGCAGCATGCCATCATGCTGAAAACTGTGCTGGCTCAACAAGCACCAGCCCAAAATGATCCAAAGCTGCACAATTCATCGGGCCTCCGGCCAGCTCAAAAATCCTTCCACGTGAAGCATGTGGCGTCTTTCTTCTGGGGGTTCCTGCCTTGCGCGTCTAAAGGTCATGTTTCTGGGAGGACGCTTGGTGAAAGGCGGAATGACTCTCAGGCGTTGGTTGTACCCACAAAACATGCTCAAACCTCAGGAATTCTGCAAAGTTGGGTGTCCAAAAATAGGGGACCCCAAAGCATTGGCGGCTGCTTCTTTGCTTCCTCTTTAGCACCATCCGAAACCTGGCCAATCCCAGGGCTCACACCTTGTCCGCAATCAATTGAATAGAGGACGAGTCTGCCGGACGAACTGCAAAGACCCAAGCAGCGAGGCCCCACAACCGAGGACCGCTTTGAGAAACGGTCAGAATTTGCAGGTCCCTCAAAGGACATGCAAAACTTCTTGAGGCCATCGTCCGCGCAAGCCCCTTCTCAAATCAACCATAGACTGCCGGTATTTTCACCATTGCATTGGCTGTGTTGAAACAAGAGTTGGACTCCCCAAAGTTCGCTGCGAAGAGCGTCCTCAAGACTCAAGATCGCTTTGACGCTTCCGGCTGATGTCTGATTCTAGGCAAAGCGCAGAACGGGCTGCACCGGTAGAATTTCTTTGACGGATTCGCCTTTGCAGGCTTTCAATCCAGGCCCCCCCTCCTCCCCAGAAGGGACGGAACATGTTTCCAAGGCGCCCAGGTGCGAGGGGCTGGGCAGCGGCTCCGCAGCCAGGCGCACCTCCTCCAGTGCCGAGCGGATGGCCAGGACCTGAAACTGCGCGAAACTTGGCCGTTTTTTGTTGTTCTCACCGGTGCTGGCCGGTGCTTCTCCTTTTTGGGATTTGGCACACTCACGTGAGCCATGCTTCGCTTTTGTTGGAGTTCTTTTTGGTTTGGACTCGCCCCTTTCTTTCGGAGCCGGTGCCGCCTTTTGCCTCGCTCTTTTTGACCAGTTTCCTACCCTCAACTGGTTCTCACAGCCCGGTTCCTCCCCCTTGTCAAAAGCCATGGGCCCGGTCCGACCCAACTGCGGAAACAATATCCGAACTCGAGCTAGACAAGCAAACGGCGTGAATATCTGGCGTACCTTATTTCTTGGTATGGGCCCAAGAACCAATAGTACTTTAACTGGCCAAGACTGCTCTAGCACAACCATCTGGTTAAACCTGATGTCAATTTGAAAAATCCAAGGCTTAGACAAGAGATGGTTGGTGTCCCTTTGGTTTCCCTTTGGTTTCCCTTTGGTTTCCCTTTGGTTTCCCTTTGGTGTCCCTTTGGTGTCCCTTTGGTTTCCCTTTGGTTTCCCTTTCCAACGTCAAGAAAGGCTCCCAGCCGCGAAGAAGGGAGCCACACTCTCACAAGGCCAAGTCTCCTCCTCCTGCAGGATCTTGGCCTCGGCCAGCGTAGTTGGTTTCAAACATCACCGCGTTGAAAAAATTACAGAGGGCTCCCTTTTGTGTTTGCGAAGTTCAAGGAGGGAATATAGAAAGGCCCTCAAAAGGGAGGGTTGCTAGCGTTCTGGGTCCTGGTGGCATGGCACAAGCACTGATTCTGTCGCGAAGGGGAGGACTACAAATTGCCCAAGTGCTTCATGGCAACTAGTGCCACCTGAGGGTGGCACGCGCATGTTGCACATTTTGATCTGCAGACCCATCTGGTGGACCCCGTAGCGGGAATCATTGTCATCCTGCTGCATCATCGCATGCGACATTGTGCCTCAGCAGGGCGGCCAGCAAATCATAAGATCTGGCTGCGGCACTCCCAGCTAAGACGAATTTTGGAGGTGCGGATGCTAATACCACCCATATACCCGTACAGGTTTTCAAGGCAGGAAAAAAAAGCTAATAAGCTGGGGCCAGGCCGTAAGTCCTGTTCGTACGTGTATCCCCGCGCCCCCGACGCGAGCAGCAAAGTGGAAATGGCAAACCTAAGCAAACGGAAAAGGATCGGCAGGGCAGCTGCCGATTAACCCCCTTTTGTGCGCAACCCCCCAAAAGACTCTCAAGTTTCGAGGGACAACCTCCATACCTCCACAACCAATGACCGTGAAGCCGGGTTTCGCGTCTAGTCTGAGGCGCGCTTGGCCTGGGCCATCTGGAGGCCTGGCACCTGCTTCACCAGGTCTTCCGGCATGACCATGGCCTGGGCCAAAAATCCGAGGCAAAAAAAGAACAAAAACACAAGAAGCGAGAAGAACCGGGACCCCCCCCCCCCGTCTCCAATAGAAACGTCAACCCCAACAGGTGACTCATGTCGAGGTGGCCAAAATCATCCGAAATTGGAAAAAGGCGAGCTCATCGGGAAAAGCCGCAGGAGCCCAAAAGCTGCGGAAATCCCTGCAAAAGCCGACAAAAAAACTGCGAAACGATGCTTGAAACAAACAACCCAAATTATACACATATGTATATATATATATATATATGGCCTCCCTTCCTTAAAAACACCTGCCCCCTCCCCCCCTCAACGTCGAGCAAACCCAACAAACCAAGAAACACTCATCGACTCAGCCACCCGACCCGCCTGGCTTGCCAGCATCTCCTCAGCATCCTTAAACTTGTTTAGGTACGCGAACCAGATGTCGCTCAAGCGTACCTCACTGCGGTCCGAATCGAGGGGCTGTTGGTGGTCCGCTTGGGTGTCTGAAATGCTCGAATGACCTTTGTTCCAAAAACTACTCGACTGGCACTGACGAGCACTGACAGGGGTGCAGGTTGTTTCTTTGGCTCGTCTTGTTCCCAAGGCGTACGAGGGAAAGCCCATGGAGCCGAAGGAGGCCGAAATGGAGCTCTAAAGCGCCATAAACGTGCGCCTTCGCCCAAACAGATGCCACAAAGTTGCCAACGTGCGAGGAACTACCCTGAACTACGTTGGTCATGTCTGGCTTTGTTGCACACCCGCGCAAGGTGAGAGGATTCCACCCTCCCAAAAAGAATGCACGGTGCCCTTGTTTCAAAACACAAACTAGTTCCGGGATCGATCCCTAGGAAAAACATCGGCCCCCGCGAGGCCGCCGAGAGGCCCTCTTCTTTTCTCGGGTGAGGCGGCGCCTGCGAAGCATCTCAGAGATTTGATGCGGGACGGTGGTCATGACGCTGGCATGCGACTTCACCGCCTCGGCTCGGCCGCATGGGTCGCTTCAAAGCGGCTGCAAATTGGCTCTAACAATTGGTTAGAGCCTAAACTAGGCATGGAACAAGGCACTTGGATCAGGACAAAAGCGGCTTGTCAAAAACTGGAGCCAAGGCCAGCGATTGGCAGTTCTCCATGCCACTCCTTCTGAGGAAGCAGGGCATCACAATGCCCAAAACTAGCTGTTCGGGGCTCCCACTATGCAGATCCAGGCGCACAAAATCACCAGGTCAGCAGAGCCTCTTGCTGCCCAGGCGGCCCCATAAGCATCCATCAAGATAGCCAGGACCATGTTCAGCAAAACGAGGTCCACGAGCAAAACCTAACACAACAAAAGACCTCCAACCGGAAAAGTTCTCAAAGCCTTTCTGGAGCCTAGGGAAACAGATACTTTATCTGACCCTTGAGCGCATTCCATCCATCGAGAAGGGAAAAAAGTCAACGTCTGTCCGAGGAGCAAAGCCCCAAAGCCACGTGCCAGCCAGTACGCGACCCACCGAGCTCATCTCGTCCTCGGATTCCGCGCATTCCGGAGTCGCGGCGGGGCATCAGTGCCACAAGGGAGAAGTGCCGCATGTGCTTCAAACGCCTTTCCATGCCTGAACACATGGATCTGGATATGTGGTCAAAACTAGAGAAACCAATAGACGTGCACTAACGCATGGGATGATACAAGCGAACCACGGAACATCCGAGGAAAATAATTCGAAGGGCGGCAAAAGCATGAAAACAAGGCAGGGCAGGGAGCGGGAACCCAGGATTACATACTTGAATTCCAAGTTGATTCATAGGGGCCGCAAAATTTACAGGTGGATCCAAATCACTTTTTTAACATCGGTCAGATTGATCAGTCCGGGGTCAACATGAGTTGCTTGGCTAGCTTCCTCCAAGAACAACACAGAGCATGACAAGTCAACTGCGCAACGAAAACCTGGCAACATACCATGGCCAAGGCCCGTTTCAGAAAGGCTAGCCAATCAAACGACAGAGGCAGCACTAACAATCCAGAAACTACGACCCCATGTTCTTCTGAATTTGTGTTGCATCGGCTGCTCCAGAAAAACATGCACAGCCCCTTCCACCCTGCCCGCTTTCACAGCCCCTTGCTCCGAGGCTCCCAGGAATACTCGCCCAGCAAAGCGCGGAAACAAGTTATGGCAGAACCTGCCGGAAACCGCAGATGGACTGGGGTTTCAAAGGGTAAGCAATGGTGGTCCGGCAAATTGCGGCAGGGTGACCCGGTCGCGGGTTCGCTTCGGTCCTAGTTGCTGGCTCGCTTCGGTCCTAGTTTTCATCTCGCTTCGGTCCTAGTTTCCTTACTCGCTTCGGTCCTAGTTTCTTCGCCGTTGACTATGGTCTTTGAGAGGCAACATCCTTGTCGACCCCACCCCGCCCGGCATGTCTTGTTGTTAGGTGTTTGAGAGGCAACATCCTTGTCGACCCCACCCCGCCCGGCATGTCTTGTTGTTAGGTGTTTGAGAGGCAACATCCTTGTCGACCCCACCCCGCCCGGCATGTCTTGTGATAGGTGTTTGAGAGGCAACATCCTTGTCGACCCCACCCCGCCCGGCATGTCTTGTTGTAGGTGTTTGAGAGGCAACATCCTTGTCGACCCCACCCCGCCCGGCATGTCTTGTTGTTAGGTGTTTGAGAGGCAACATCCTTGTCGACCCCACCCCGCCCGGCATGTCTTGTTGTTAGGTGTTTGAGAGGCAACATCCTTGTCGACCCCACCCCGCCCGGCATGTCTTGTTGTAGGTGTTTGAGAGGCAACATCCTTGTCGACCCCACCCCGCCCGGCATGTCTTGCTGTTAGGTGTTTGAGAGGCAACATCCTTGTCGACCCCACCCCGCCCGGCAGTTCTTGTTGTTAGGTGTTTGAGAGGCAACATCCTTGTCGACCCCACCCCACGCGGCATGTCCTGTTGTTAGGTGTTTGAGAGGCAACACCCTTTGCGTGTGTCCTGTTGTTAGTGCTCAAAAAGCTATCTTCCACTGCGCCTGAAGTGATCCAAAAATTGCGACAGAAGTGATCCGCAAATGCTCAAACTACGACCAAAGTGAGTGGATTTCAGCTGCGACCAAAGTGATCCAAAAACTGCGACCAAAGTGATCCCCCCGCCGGGTGACCCCCATCTGCCAGGTTTGGTGAAACTCAGGCCCCGTTGACCCAATTGACCCGACCGACAAGTGCAGGTTTGACCAAATAACATGAATGACCGAAGTGACGGAGAGGAATGCTTGATACAGGCTTCTCCTTGGCGTCTACAATAAGTAACAAGACGACTTCACATGCAGTGGCAACACAAGACAGAGATTGCGCCGGAGGCTCGCTATGAAAAGCTATGAAAGCCACAAAGCCTGATCTCAAACAAGAAGTTGCGAAGACAGACATATGCTGAGCGCTGCTGTTGCTGTCGCTGTCCCTGTTGCTGTTGCTGTTTTTGCTGCTGCTGCTGCTCCTGCTGCTGTTGCTGCCGCCAGCTCCATCTTCTTGGCCTTTCGAAACCGAAAGAAAAAACTGAAGGCAAACCAGCACGCGTGGAAACCTCCCTTTTGCTCATTTGCGCATTGATTTGTGGTAAAGTGACCCATCCCCGTTCATTCGCTCGTCCTTCAAACCCAAACAAATCAACCCAAAACAACCCTTTGGCCTTTCAGCACCACATCGGAAACCAACCCAAAACCGATTGAGACCCTCGTTCGCCAAATGAAATCCACGGCACGGTCCAGCGTGGAGAACTCCTCGAGGTCCTCCCCGAAGATCAGCACGGCGGCCGCGGCCATGCCTTCGGCGCCGAAACCGAGGGAAGCCACGGAGATGGGGTCAAAACAAGGGGTCCAGGCAAAAATATGTTTGCAGCGTTGTCCAAAAATTGTCTTAGAAGATGGGTGTGTGTGGACCTCCAGAATGGCGGTTGTCCTTTAACCGAAGGGGTAGCCTCAAAAAAACACACTCCCATATGCCATCCCCTGGTGCAACAACAAGTTGGGTTGCCGGGGGGACCGAATGACAGTCATTCTTGGACGCGGGTTGGGAATTGTGCAAATCCTATGCGAATAGCAGCGAATCGTGGCATCGGTGGGACCAGAGGAAAGTCTGGAAATGTCCAAGCTCGCGTATTCGAATCTGAGATTCGGATACGCGGTGGCGCGTCATTCTCATTTGCTCGAAGCAGGCTCCAGGACTGTGGCTTGACTCTCTTAGTGAGAGACCTTCAGAATGCCACCAACACCTGCATGCACCTGTCCAGGCCGGGCTGCCTCGTATATGTGAAGTAGAGAAGTCATGAGCTGCGCTGATAACTTGCTGGCAGACAAAACTTCCGTTCCTGCACGGTACTGAAAGCGCAGCGGAGACAAAGACCAGCTTTCGGGAAGGTAGCTCCTTCAAACGCAAGAAGACCCCAAGCCCTCTTAGACACCAGGTGTCTAAAACCACCTGTGGCAAGGTGGCAGCGTGTCAGATAAGCAAATGGGACTGCGCAGCCGCGTACAGCGCGCGGATAGTTCCGCAGGGCCCCTCATTCTCCACTGGGAACCAGCAACTTTTTGCTGCTCAGTGGAAGTAATGATCCTTTCCTCAGAGTTAGCAAGTCAACATCGTCACCCACTAGCAGCCAAGGTGCAAAGGTACACGGAGGCCAGCACGATGAAAAAGTGGAGGAGGTCTTGGCTGGCCGCGGTCAGGGTCTTCGTCACAATCGCCTGATGTTCGTCACATTGAAAAGAGATGGCACACATGTCCAGAAATCGCCTTGAACTTCGCCAAAAATATAGACTAAGATTGAAGCAGTCTGCAACATGACGAGAGACTTGGCCCCGTTCGAGTTATTTCAGGCAACAAGAAGCTTTCCTTCACCAAAGGATGGCTTTACCATCAGAAACGGGAAACTGAGTTGGACCTGGAGGGTCCATGGACAATGAGGGCTCGCTACCCTTTTTTGTGCCTCGCCTCTTCTTGAGAAGTTCTATCGAAGAGCCTTTGCTGGTTGGCTTTGGGAAGAGCCCTTGGCTTCCCTGCAAAAGAGACCCTTCGGAAACCTAAGACCAGTTGGGCATGGATGTGCAGTTAGGGCTCGTTTGGTGAACGTCAAGATTTGGTCCCATTAAAATGCATAGCTGTTTGAAGGCCTGGCAATTTTAAAACGTCCGCCACCAGAAAACCATACTATGCCTTGAACCAAAGCCGGCCTACCCAAACGCGGCATGTTGCGCCTCGATGGCCTAGGCACCCTTTTGTGTCGGGGGCTGGCTTTAGAAATGAACTAAGCCTCTTAAAGCGCTTGCATTTGAAAGATCCTCGACATGATTTTGAGTGTGGCTTCCCCTTGAACCAAGACTTACATGGTAACTTCCGGATGTGACGTTTTTTGCGATGCGCAAAGCCACCGTATGCAAAACGGCAACAAGACAGCAGCACGCAACATTGCATTGTTCAGTTTCTTGGTATGCCAGCATTAACTAGGATCTGTGCAAAGACAGTGGGTGCAGTGCCCTCCAAAGTGTGACAAAGTGGAGTGTTCAAGTGCCAACTACGGGCGTTCGTACCGAGAAAAGGACGTATAGAGTGTGTGGGGAGCTCGTGCCAATGTGCTCTAGGGAGTCCTTGACGGAAAGGAGAGCTCAGCCTGTTAAAGGTGTGGGCTGGGCCGAAAACTGCCTGGTGTTCAAGCAGTGAGGGGTCTTTAAGGATTTGGCCTAGATATTTAATCCGAAAACACAACGTGGATTGGGCCAGGGTAAGCAGTGAGGAAAGGTGGGTGTGTGCCTGGGAGGAAAAGAATTCATGGGAGCATTGCTCCTCTGATGGAGAGAGTACTTGGTTGTAGTGCGAGGACTTGATTCCGAGGGTTTGTCGAAGTGTGCGGAAATGGACTGTATTATATTGCCTAAGTTGCGATTCTGTGAAAATCTGGGATTCCGCTGAGTAAGTGAGTATGAATTGGACGATTTGTACGTAAACCTGGAGCTTCTTTTTGGTGGAAATATGCTTGTGGCGGAGAAGAGAGGAACCAGTAGGCATGAGTCATGCCTTGAGGTATCTAGTGGTGGTGGTAGGGAATACCGGTTCGGAGAGCTGGACTGTACCGCCACAGTAGGGGTGTCGTGGGTGACAATAGAAGAGAAATAGACCGGCTGGCTGAAATGGCGGGTCATGCCGTATCGGAGCTGAAGGGAGTAGAAGTGCGGTATCGTCAGCATTCTAGATCATGGAGTGGGTTGTCTGGTGTGAGGGTCTACGTGTATTGGGCAAAGGTGACAGATTGCAGAGACAAAAAAGGGGGCAACCCCACTGGTTTGGCAGAGTGTTAGACTGAATGTTAGCCTCTTGGACAAAGAAAGCGGTGTCCTCATTGAGGGAGATAACGACCTGAACAAGGGGCTCAGGGACCCCCATTCGGAAAAGAGAGGAGGAAAGATGATCGAGTTCAACAAAGTCAAAAGCTTGAGACCAATCGAGGAAGAGAAGGTACCCTGGAAGGGAGGACTTTTGGAAAACTCCCATTCTGGCCAGTTTGGCAATAATTGTGGTATTCGCACAGTGTTCCCTGCCTGGAAGGGAAGATGTGTGTCTTTCGTGGAGTTCGAGAAGACGGGGGTCGAGGTGGAGCGAGCTTGTCTGAAGCCAAACTGCTGATTTGGAAGGAGATGGTCGACTGCGGAGGAAACTCGCAAGTGTACCATAGATGCGTAAAGTTTACAAATGGTATTTGCGAGACAAATGGGACGATAGGATGATGGAGACTTGGAGTCTTTGGATCCACCTTTAAAAATCATAACTATACGGGCAATTCGCCAGTAGTCGGAGGATTCTGCGCGGAGGAAGGTTTGAGTAAAATGAGAAAGGAGCAATGTTTTAAAAATTGCGGGGGCGTGTTTATACCACTCGGACGGTATTCCGTCCGGACCGGGGCCCTCCGTGGCTTCACTCTGCGCAGGGCATTGTCTAGCTCCCAGGGCTGGAAAGGTCCCAAATCCCCATTCTGGGGGAAAAAGGGGGGCCTACTTGAAGCGGGGAAACTGGTTTTTGAAACTGTGTTGGAGAGTTTGTGACGCTGATCTGGGGTGAGATTTTCCGACTGCATGCGATGGATCATACGAATAGAGGGATCAGTGAAGTATGGTTTACGGATATGAGCTGGGGCCTGGGGGAGGAGGGTAGATGCAGCTTGCATCGTGTCCTGTAGGTACTGGGATTGTTCTGCAAGAGCGAGGGCTGTAAAGTGGGTGAGGCCGGGGGAGCCGTAGGAGGGAGAACAGGGAGGGCGAGAGCATGGCGCTTGAGGGGCGTGAGGGTGAGGACGCCCTTTGCTGCGTTGGTATCGGCTCTATCATTGTCATAATGTGACGAGTGCCCTTTGATTTTCTGGAAAGAAACTCGGTGGGTGGAGAAAGTTGGGGAGGTAAGATGAAAGAGAGGTTGATGTGTTGGCGAGGTCGGTGATACAATGAAAGAAAAAGAAGGTGGAATCCGTGTGGAAGTGTACGTCGTGGGGGTGCAGGAAAGTGCGGAGAACGAAGTCGGTGGCTTCAAGCATAGCTTGCAGTTCGGCAGGGTTGGGGCCAATGATAGGAAATGGTAGGTTGGCGCCTACCGGGCCGCGCAGATCAAAGTGTAGAGTGTCGGGATGTGACTTTAAGGGACCTAAATGAAGAAACCCTCGATAGGGAACAAACTAAGGCCCCAAAAGCCACCCCGTAGACCTGAGGTTCTGAAAGACCTTAGGTGCTGATGGATTCAACAAGTCAAGAATGCACTTGCTCCCACTTCCACCCCCTGTACCCACCTAACTGCGTGGTGGGCTCGCCAACTCGCTCGCCGAGGCGCCAAGCGTGGCTGCGCGTGGAAGGACTTGAAGAGCCGAAGCATGACCTGACGAGGGCTTGGATCAGCCTGAGTGTGTGTGTGTGTGTGTGGGTGGGTGTGAGTGTGCGGGTGCCTGTGCGTGCGACTGTGCGCGTGTTTGGGTTTGTGTTTATGTGTGTGTGTGTGCGCGTTGTGTTTGCGTGTTTCCGTGTTTCTGTATTAGCGTGTAAATATACAGTCAATCGAGCAAGTACCAGAATCAAACAGTTCAAAAGGTGGCCAAATGAAAGTGTTATACCCAAGAAAATGGCCAGGCAACTCGTTCAACGTGATGGCAAAAGAAACAAGACCTACCAAAATGAGCTTCATTTCAAACTAGCCAAAATAAAAGCCTGCCGCTAAAAAAATCAGGGAAACCCAGATTAAACAGGTGGCCCGGACTTCGATTGCCTACTGCGGCAGCTGAAGTCAGTTCGCAAAGAAGCCGCAAGCCTCCCACCCCAACGCTTCATGGGCACTGGAAACAAGAACGCAAAGGCCTTTTGCCCGGGCCATGGCAAAACCCACCGAACTCTTCTGCGGCTTCCCGGCCAGCATGGGGAAGAAGAGCAGCGCAAGGCTGAAGTCCGCGCTGGCGTCGATGAAGCTTTCCTTGTCGAAAGGCTGGCTGGGGGCACCCCTGCGCATTGACCCCGGTTGCCCAAACCATCTGAGGTTTCCCGGGCGAAGTACTTGAATTCCAAACCGAAATTCCGGATTCCTAGGAAGGGGACCTTCATCATTGGGTACAACTAGCTCGTTTTACCCCTCTTCGGTCGGTTCATGGTAAGTTAGGATTTGTCCAAATGGATGCCTCTCAAAATCTAGCATTCCCCGGTCCATTCCCCAAACAGGAAGGATGAAACCGCAACTGAAATTCCAGTGGGTACCCCGCGCCCCCAGTTCCATTTGAGACACATGCGGCAGCGATTAATTGCACCCCAATGGCAGGGGCGGGGGGGAGAGCGGCAGACCAACAATCCAAAGCCCTTAGCACAAGATCTGCCTAGCCTTTCTCAGATTTTCAGGCAAACACAAAAGCGTGAATCCGGATCTGCAAAACCTGGATCTTGGTGATGATCTATCTCCATCTATATAATCCTGTCTAGTCTAGTCTGATCTGACGAAATGCTATCTAATCTAATCAAGTCGAACCTAGATTGGTGCAATCCAAGCTGGATTAATCCGATCTAATCCAGATTAATGCAAGCTTAGTCTAATCCAAACTTATCTGGATTAGAACCAGTGTATATTCCATCCAACCCAATCTAGATTTATCTAACTAATCTAGATGGATGGAACTTGTAAAACCCAATCCAGAACAATCTATCCTTCTCTGGTCCAAGCTAGAGTCACACTATCCAATGCTGATCCATCTGCTACTCTAACGAATCTGTCTAAAAAGTCTCTTTTGGGGAAAAAGGCTGGAGAGCTCATAGCAACCGAAACTCCGGACAGCTTGGGCTCTGCGGTCGAACATCTCTACACCCATCCAGCTAGCCACACCCCGTCCAAAAAGGCCCCCCGTTTCTCGGCGCAAGCCATGCTATAGGTCGGTTCATGGTAAGTTAGGATTTGTCCAAATGGATGCCTCTCAAAATCTAGCATTCCCCGGTCCATTCCCCAAACAGGAAGGATGAAACCGCAACTGAAATTCCAGTGGGTACCCCGCGCCCCCAGTTCCATTTGAGACACATGCGGCAGCGATTAATTGCACCCCAATGGCAGGGGCGGGGGGGAGAGCGGCAGACCAACAATCCAAAGCCCTTAGCACAAGATCTGCCTAGCCTTTCTCAGATTTTCAGGCAAACACAAAAGCGTGAATCCGGATCTGCAAAACCTGGATCTTGGTGATGATCTATCTCCATCTATATAATCCTGTCTAGTCTAGTCTGATCTGACGAAATGCTATCTAATCTAATCAAGTCGAACCTAGATTGGTGCAATCCAAGCTAGATTAATCCGATCTAATCCAGATTAATGCAAGCTTAGTCTAATCCAAACTTATCTGGATTAGAACCAGTGTATATTCCATCCAACCCAATCTAGATTTATCTAACTAATCTAGATGGATGGAACTTGTAAAACCCAATCCAGAACAATCTAACCTTCTCTGGTCCAAGCTAGAGTCACACTATCCAATGCTGATCCATCTACTACTCTAACGAATCTGTCTAAAAAGTCTCTTTTGGGGAAAAAGGCTGGAGAGCTCATAGCAACCGAAACTCCGGACAGCTTGGGCTCTGCGGTCGAACATCTCTACACCCATCCAGCTAGCCACACCCCGTCCAAAAAGGCCCCCCGTTTCTCGGCGCAAGCCATGCTTTTCGCTTTTTGCGTGTGGTTTTGGCATCTCCCTTTCTCCTTTCGCCCCCATCCCAAGACGTAGGCTCCGCCGCCTCGAAGGCCGCCTGCGCGTCCTGCGCGCTGGTGCCGTTCTGGGCGGCGGTCAGCACCTCCGAGGCCGCGCCGGCCTCCGCGGGGAGAGACTGGGAGAGACGTGTTTTGGCTCTGGGTTCGGGGAAAACGCGATCCGGGAAGCTAGCCTCTCTCCAGCTCTGCCTGTGTCAGTAGAGTTACACCCCGCGATTCCTGCCTGGGTTGTGGGAGCGAGTACTCCCCAGCTTTGGGCAAAGACTTGAATTTAGCTTGAACAGCCATATGCAACCCCAACCCAAGCTGACTTGTCTGCTTGCACCATTTCTCAGCATCAATCGCAACACAGCAGGGACACATTGTTGGGGTCATGTCCGCTTCTTGAGGGTCCTCTCCTCCATTTGCACGCGGATGTACGTCCCCACCACGGCGAAGGAGCAAGCCATCGAGAGCCAGTCGATGATGTTCCAAAACGCCTTGGCTCAAAGTCATGGCTTCAAAGTCTCTGTCCTTCTCCCAGGCCAAACTCCCGCTCAGCCCCTTTACACCTCTCTCCCTCTCTGAGCCGCCACGTACTCGAAGAGGAGGGCTTTCCACCACTCATTGTTGGAGCCAGTGATGGTGTTCACTATCTCCCGCGCCTCCCGCGAAAGAAAAGACTGCCACCGAACAGATCTCGCATCTACTCACATGCGTGCCTCCACCGCAAGAAGCTTTAGCCATCCCAGCATCCAAATGACATCACCTCGTTCGAATCGATCTTTCGACATGGGCGATGGACTCATTGCAAGGATCCACACACAAAGCTGCCAAAGCTCAAGTCAAGGCACAAAACACCGTCGTGATCACACTGAGGATGTGCCCAGAGTAGCTGCTCAGGCGTCCAGTTTGCACTTCCCTGAGCGCTTCAGCAACGGGGTGTGGAAACCATGTTCTGGGGGACGCATGTGCCTTGTGCCGTCTTCAAGGGGGCCTAAAGAGTCCCATTCTAAAGGTTGATACATTCTATTCCCATTAGATTCAGCAGGCCATCTGAGCCGAATCCCTGAAGAGCATGGGGCACGGTGAAACGCACAACCTGCTCAGCTACAGTTGGTCGGGCAAATGTGGCGAAAACGCATCGCTTGCTTCAACAGGGCTCCCCACAAAACATCACGCCTACCAAGGGAAACTCACTTTCTTCGCCAAAAAGGCGATGCTCAAAACCACAAGTCTTAAGTTAAGGGACATGTAGGGACGTACAAGCGGCTCGGCTCCTGGGGCGGCGACACCAGTGCCTGGATGCGTCCCGCACGGTTGAAGAAGAAGTTCACCGTCACCTGTCATCGAAAATCCCACCAAGAAATCCTACCAGTTGCCTAGTGACCCAGGCCCGAGTATCCTTTTGGGAACATGCGAAGCGGAGTCTTTAGAGAATCCAGACAAGACTTGCGTGACATGCAGGTTGACATTTCTGGAAAAACGGGCTGTTCTTTCCTCAATGTTTGAATCTCAGCGACCATGCAGTAGTTGCACGCCATCAGCTCAAGGGCCCTATCCGAGTCAGAGCCAGGGCAGCAGAGATTCTGCGCAACCTGGATTTAACAAACAGGGTGGGCTCACATGTATGTGTGGTTCTTCTTCTCTTTTCAGCGTCAGTGCTTTACAACTTCCTTATGTACGATTGTGTCAAAGAGCTCTCTTGGAACCGGCCCAGGACCACCTGGCCGTTCTTCAGAGTCCTTGCAAGCCAAACCTCAGCTCAAAGGGGTTCTCCATGCAAAGAATGCTATGTTTAGAGGCTCAAAATGGGGGGAAATCCACAACAATATCTCAACCCTTTTTCCAACACATGCCCAATATTTTCTTTCACCATTCTCCCTGATATGGAATCTCTCAGGACCCTTTGGGAAGAGCAAGTTCCTTTCCTTCATGCTATTTGTGGTGAGCTCCGGAGAAAAACAATTTCCAAGGAACCAAGCCTTGGAAAGAAGCCCATAGTTCTGGTTGTACGCCACTGTGCTGAGCTCGACCCTCTGCGTGTACTCCTCAGCGCGTGACGATCCCAGATCTGGACTCAACCCACAAGGATCCCCCACAAGCACTTAAAAGTGGCAAGGCCGCCGCCCGCTTTTCTGCAGGGCCTGGGAATTCTCTGGGAAGTTGCTTATCGGACAAGTCAAAACGCAGAGGATGCAATCAGCCAACGCCCGATGCGTTGAAAGGCGAGCGTTCTCCACTCGACACAGGTCTCATGCGCGCAACAGCCCGACACTGCCCCTTCGCAAACACCAAAAAAAAGAGCACGGCAGTGCTTCGGCTTCCCTCTATAGATCGGTTTGGTTTCCCACGTACCCTAGAGAAGCCAAAGCTGCAAACCAAGCCACCCGTCCAAACGACCAAAAGATATCTGACCGCTAGCCCCCCATCGCCAACAGCAAGCCCGACATCTCTCCAGAACCCTAAAAAAAGCGCGCAGGGCGCCACCCCGCACCTTGCTTGGGCAGAGACCCCATGCTTTCAGAAGTGAAGACTGGAAGAAATTGTGGCCCGAAAGCACAACATACAGTGACTTTAGTTGATATCTAAAACTCGGCGTGTGATGTCAAATCGGCTGCTCAGAGTTAGTTGAGCTGAAGCTGTAGGAGCGCAATTACTTCGGGTACTGTTCTGTATCGCAATAGCTGCACTTCTGAACTGGGACTATGTTCACGCTAAACTGCGGGAGCGCGCTTCATGCGGTATTTCGGCGCTCGAAAGTTGTGATGCTGGAGCTGCGGGAGCGCGCAGCTCATATTAACCCGCTCTGGCGGACCAAGGTGGGGATCGAGCCCGGAACTTCCTGACTGCGAGAGCAAGCGCGCAATCACGAGAAACTTGCAACTTCAAATGCTTTGTTCACCTCAACAACACCGATCCAGGCACGCGCACAGAGGTCCCGCCTGCGCAAAGCAAAAAGTCGCAAAAAGTCCTGTTGCTGCGCCACAACAACAGCTGATCCCCGCAAAGGCACATTTCTCGCGCAAGATGTCTCGCAAGAGGTTTGTCGTGCAAGATGATGTCTCGCGCGAGCTTCGTCGTGCAAGTTGGCTCGCGCAATCTGCAGGGCGAGTTCTCTCCTGCAACTTGCTACGTACGTTCCCTGGCGCAACTTCTCTGTGGTGCAATTTGCTGCGCGCGTTCTCTCTGCAAACGGGTGCTACTTGCTTGGCGTGTGCTCTCTGCAATCTTTGTGTCGTAATTGGCAGCGCGAGGCGGGCGACTTTCCCAGAAGAATCCCTCGCACTGCTTCGGGGAAAAACACCCAGCCAGGCGTCATCGAGCCACGGAGCCGGCAAAGATGCGCCTCAGGGAAATACAGCCAGCTGCGGTAGGCGTCAGCATGCCAAAGATTGATTTCCCCTTTCAACCCAAGAAGGGTCCCTCCAAAAACATAGACCCAAACGGGAACCCTCACCATGGCTGCCTGATTCTTTTAGGGCCTCTCTGAATGAAAGGTCCCCCGTGGCCTGGCTTCCTTGTGGGTTCCCCTTTGAAGACCAGCCAGGCAGGCATGGTTCCGCCTTTTGCGACAGATACTACATCTCTTCTGAAAGTCACACCCTACCTCAACAAAAGTTACAATAGAAACTGGAATCTCTAAAATGCGAAAGCCACCCAACAATTCAAAACATAGGGACCAACGCTTGCCGGTTTTGAAAGGCTTGAGCCCAAGGGTGAGAACGTGCCCAGCCCTCTGGCCTCCAACCGTCTGAGCTCCGCCTTGGCCTAGGGCCGGACGGGTCAAAAACTTGAGGGGTAACCTGTGGTGGTGGCATTTGGTGTACCCTTTTTCACGATTTGGATACCCACCCATACGGATTTCGACACCAAGAACCACTTCATGATTTGTCTGACAAGACCGCGTGACCCTCTGAATAAAAAACTCAAAAACGATACGCCATCCAAACTGAGATAAGCCTTCCCCCAAGCAGGCAAAAATCAAAGTGAAAGTAGATGTAGATTTACAAACGATCGAAGCAGTATTCTCTGGACGCAAAACCCATAATTTGTTTTGTTTTTGTTTTTATTTAAAAAAAATGGGAAGTGTTCTGGCGGCACAGAACCTTCCGAGCAGCAGGTCTGACATCTGCAGGGCCCACCTCTGGCACAGCCCTCCTGACATGCAAACCCATAGCACTCAGACCTACCCCCGAAACAAAACAAATGACAGCAAAGGGGAGCACCCTCCCAATGGTGTAGAAAATAGTCCGACCTACTCGAAAGAACCATGGTATGTGGGTGCAACTTTTAGGGGACTGGATGGTACGAGAATTCACCGGCACGCGCTTTCTTGGAAACATGGCGGAGAATAGGACGGCTTAGGGAAGCCTGAATTTGACCCCACAAAACGTAGTCACTTTGCGTCAAAGGGTTGCTCGTACCTGGCACCCCTTTTATGCAAGACACGTGGGTGTGTTGCTGTATTCTTACCCTTTCTTAGGCTTGCTGCTAGGCAAAGGCAAGGTTTCTGGCAGGAAGGCAGAAGCCCATTTTCGCTCGTTGCTCCAAAAGCAGCATGAATGCAGAAAAGCCACCAAAATGCCATTGCTGGCCATTTTAAAGAATGGCAACAAAGGTCTGGCTCAGACCTCCCAGCTGGTGACCTAGGGACGGCTGAGATCTGAGTCCTGTTGAAACGCCATGGATCCTCGTGTTTTTGGCGACTCCATCAGTCGAGCGGGCGACCTCTACAGCGGAGTCTTCATTGTAGGGCGCGGCTTGCCGATGGGTCTTATTCGGCATCCGGGCTTTGTGACGGCCTTCCTTATATTTTGCGGTGTTGAGCCCACCGCGCACCTGGCTATCAAGGACTGAGTATGCACACATTGGCATCGGCGCCGCTTTCGTCGGTGGTTTTCCGGGCATCAGTGTGGACGTGAATCCGATCGCCACATCCCATTTGGAGCGCAACAAGCACGGTACTGTCTTGCAGTTGGATGTCACGCACTTTGACACCAACAGTCGGATTTCCACGCCAGACGTATTCCACACAAACGTGGCATGGGTGACCTGGAATGCGTTCCGGCCGGCTCCAAACCAGCAGCCAAGGACGCGCTCCAGCAGTTGGCCCACGTCATGAATTGGCACATCCTCACCAACACCATGGAGCTGGCAGATCAATGGCCGTCGGAGATGGTAGGCCCGCGCGCTCCTGGGTTCCTATCCCATCGCCTTGTCAAAGACATCTTCCCGGGCAGGAAACGCTGGACTCCAGATAAAAAAAGCCAGCTCCGACTTTCCGAATTCAAGCTGGAAAAGTACCTTGATCTCTCAGGCAACGACTTGGCGGCCGCCATCTTGCACAGCTACGGCAACTCCCTGCAGGGCTGCCCCTGTAAATGTCGGGCCCTTGGTTTCTCCGAGTATTCCTTACAGACCCGCGGCCTGCGAGGGTTCTTTGTGCACTTAGATGGCTCCTCAGATGCCAGGTTTCTGTATGGTACCCTGTGGTACAATTACGCCCACGCCATCGCGGACACACCACAATGCTCTCCCGACCGCATTCAGCTCTACAAGCATGAGATTTTGCAGCAATTCCACAAGGTGGATTCAAGCATGACGTCCTGCCATGTCCAAGCGTACGTGATGCACCCACCGATGGCGCCTCCTGCGCATTCACCAGTACACATGCTCCCAAGAGGCAGCGCCTTTCATTCTCGGTGGAGCAGGTCAAGATCACAATTCGGAACATCCAACAATACAGGAGGTCATGCACACAACAGGACATTTCCTGTTCGAAGCCCTCCAAGTCGCTGGTCTCCCGAACGATAACTTCGTCTTGGACAAGCACGGCAACTCCATCGGAGCAGATACCCGCATCTAGAGAAACAACTTTGGTGCCACCATTCTCAACCACAGCATCGCCAAAATCAGCTTTCCGGCACGCTACAGGGCCACCAACGAGCCCGTGATCGTACATGGTGGTATCATTCAACTGGGAGACGTTGACGCCTGCAGAACTCCTGCACAACAAGCTCCCACGTTGGATGTCACAGCCAACGACGTGATCAAGCTGCAGGTCTTTCGGGATCTCCTGGCCACTGGATGGGCGCAGTTCTGCAAGGCCCCAATTTGAGAGCTTGTCGCTCAGCTCTCACTCTCTCCTTCCAGCCCTTCGCCTATGTCATGCAAAGAGCTGCGGCACCGAATGCGCTATGACCCACCACCCAGTCAATGAGCAGGTTGACCAGATCATCCTCGAACTCTGGTCCCGGGCGTTCTTCCCGATTTTCGCACATCCGAGATACGATGCCGAGTTTCGACCAGGTATTGAGAGCGTGCCCACAACATGTGCTCACACATCTGCTTGTTTCACGATCGATGTACACAACGTCCATTCGAACCGCGCTTTATGACATCCCCGCCGGATTCGAGCTTCATTCCCTTCCTGGGCAGGGCGTACAGCATCTATACACAGACGGCAGTTGCAACAAGGCGGGTCGACCGGGTTTTACTCTTGCAGAGTGGCGCGTTTGCAATGGCGGGCGGAACTTACCGCAATTCTGGCAGCCTTTCAATGGATCTGCGAGACCGGGCGCCGTGCACACATCTGGTCTGGCCGACACCAGCCTCAGGCCGCTACAACTTGTTTTACTCGCCCCACTCTTGCGAGAGTCATTTGCACAGTTCGAGCTGCTATGCGGCTTGTCGGCGAGGTCTTTGACGCTGGGCACTATCTTTGCAATGGGCTCAACAGAGCCCAAGCAGGGATTGCTTTTCCATGTGATGGGTTGGTAGTACAGGCTGCAACCATCACATTGCATGAGATCTTCGGAAAAGCCCGAGAATTCACATCGGGCAGGGGCTTCAGGCGAGCATCAGATCTTGCCAGGCCCGCTTGACACTGCGGGCGAACATGGCCCGACCGCACTGCGCAGCTGTGCGTCGGAGCCTACCGAATCGGTCCGAGATAAAGAATGGCAACAAAAAGGTGTCGCGTTCCAGGAGGGTCCAGCCCCTTTTCCGAAAACGACCCATCCTCCATGTCCAAGGTCATCTGCTGCAGCTCTTGCAGGGACCCGGAGAGCATCCACTCCACTCGCTGCGGCGAGTGGAAGCTGTGTGCCCAGTGCACCTCCAAAAGCTAAGCAAAATTGCAAGGGCAAGCAGAAAATCCAAGCAAACAAAGAAGAAAACAACAACCTTCGAAATGAAACAACCCTTAGCAACAAACAGCCTCAAAAGGAGACAAGAAGGCAGAGCTCGAATCAAACCCTGCAAAAGGCAATCCAACCAGAAACCGCTCCGAAACCCATCAGAACCCCGAGTAACAGCCGCATGCCACCGAGAACCATGCAACTGCTTCATGGAACCTTCCAGAACCATGAGAACTTGCTGAAATCTTACCAGCATAGGTGTCAAGAGCATGATACGCTTTAGATGCTTGAGCTCGGTCTTTCCCCCACCCTCTGCTTTCCGGCCACTCAGCATCTTCGAGCCTCAGGGCGGAGGAAGTACGAAGGGGTGGCCAGCATGCAAGGCTTTCCAAGCCAGCGCTTCCAGAGGTCTTCTGGCATACCTCAGCTCTGGTTGGCTGGAGCCTGGAAATTGCCTCGGGGCCAAAAAAAAAAAGAAGGCGCAGGTGATATCCTCAAGTCCCGCAACTTCCTGGAACCCTTCCAGAACCCTCCCTTGGAAAAGGCAGAGAGCCCGAAACTTCAGCTGGGAAATGTCCGCATGTTTCGTTGAAAATCCCAAGTTTGGGGCACCATTCGCTTTTCTGAGCCTCGCTTAATCAAATCCCTCTCTGAGAGAAAAGCACCTTCCTTCAGAAGCTGAGTACAGCAGGCGTCACTTGGAAAGCAATTGCCCATCTTGTCCAAGATGCTGGTTGGCACATGGCAGGCCTCAGGTGCAACCTCCCAACATGGATGTCTTTTGGAAGACAAATGCTCTCTTGGGTCGGAGGCACACGAGTTGGCGGTGGGGAGAGTTATTGGAAGACCGCAAAAAGGGGAGTCTGCTCGTGTCTGACTGGCCAAAAACGGCTGATCAACTGGGCTTGTGCCCCCCCCGGGCAAAAAGAGAACCAGCATTGTCGAAAGTGCAGCTTTAAGCAAACGGAACAAGCACCCGCCGAATGGCAGGTCTAAACAGAAAGCAAAGCATGCGTCCCGGCAATGTGTGATGATGTGTGACGGCAGCATGTGTGACGGCAGCATGCAAAATGGCAAAACAATCCATCCCGACGGGACTGAACCCACGCCGGAACTTCTTTCAAAAATGTGCAACATAACCCCGACTGAACCACCCCCAGTTCTCCCCGCCAACAAACAAACCTTAAGCAAAGCTTCTTCAAGCCCACGTTTCGCGAAAAAGTTGCTTTCGAAAGACAAAATGGTTCTCCAAATAGTCGTCCCCCCAACCAGGAGAGGTCCCTTTTGAGAAAGAACCAGAAGAAAACAAACTTGTGTGAAAGGGCTGCAACCCCGCCTCCCAACTGCCGATAGCTCGTTCCTGCTGGAGGCGGACGCCTGCAACAATGCGGTTGAAGTGGAGGAAGTCCTCAGCAGGGAACCAAGTTGAAGGTGCAAAAGGGGAACAAGAACAAAACGACCACTTTTAAAAACCCATTTCGATAATCCAGGGCTTGACTTGGAAGAAGGGGGCCATTGCTTTGCGCCGCCAATCGAAATCTGGACATGAAACTGCAGAAAGGATGGGCTGTTTCAAGCCAACAAGGGGTCATTTGAGCAGCACCCAAAACCTGTTCACGTTTGGTTCTACCAGGCTGATTCTGAAGGGTCCAGAGGCCATAACAGAAGCACCAACTAAAAAAAAAACGTGTTGGGCGCTGCTCGTTTGCCCCAGGTGGCTCGCTTTTCACCGGGGCGCTCCGCGCACGGGGAGGCTGGCGTTGCCCCAGGGCTCGTCGGCGAAGATCCCTGGCACTGTTCGATGGAAACGCGCGTCGGCGTGTTGGGCTGGGCTGCCCTTTTTGGAGGCTGAAACGCAGCCGCTGGAATCACTGGAATCAAGATCAAAACCCGGGACTAAAAGAGGTCCCCAATCCATGTAGGAATCAAAGGAGAACCAATACATGGCTTGGACTAGCCCTTTCCTGATCGGGTTCCACGTTTTGCAACCGAGTGGCCATAGGACAAATCCTGAAGGCAAGCAAATGCAAAAACGGCTGTGTGCACCCACTGAGAAGGCGGCCAAAACCGTCGGAAGATCCGGCGTGCTGAATGGAGTCGCTGCATAGGCAGCGTCCAGTCCTGCGAGCCAATGCAAACGCAGAGCAGAGTGCTCCAAACCAGGACCAACCCGCCCCCCCGCCCCCGCCCGACCAGGTTCCATAAAAATGTCGTGATTGATCCTGATCTCCCACAAATGTGAAACCCCGAAGAGCAAAACAGAAAAAACATCGCGGCCAACCATACGGCTCCATGTCAGGTTCCACGTCCTTCAGACCAAAGCCAGGTGTTTCCAAGGAGCGGCAGCATCCCCAGGCGCAACCACGCCCAGAAATCCGGAATGGAGTCAACGTCATACACCTGCACAAAATCCAAAAAGCCGCACAAAGCCCTTGGTTGCTTTGAAAGGAAACCAACAAACAAGACAACCTTCTGTCGGGAGTCCACTGCCCTTCACGAGCCCATGCGAGCCCCAGCACTCTATGCAACTTTCCGGGCCCCCACTTTCTCGCCGCGGCGCCGTCTTGTGGCCGAAATGCTCGGACCAGGCGAAGTTAGCGTTCTCTTCGATATCCTCGCACGCTCCCGGACGCGTGGGGGAGGAAGGGTCTCCCTTTCAAACTCCAGGAAACAAAGCTCACTCAGTAAATAGCCCAATTCAGAGATGATTGAATCATAGGTGAAGTGTAGCAATCCTTGAAGAATGTACGGCAAAACATGTGACATGCTTCTCTCTCCTTCCATGTCTTTTGGCAAAGCCAAGTACTGGACACAATCGACCCAGGATGGTCCCTAGGTCACCGGGCGGTTTTCCAGGCGTTTTCCACCACGAGAACCTGGTCGGGCCGCAAGTGCATGAACATCACCACCTGGCTTTCGCAACGCCCACCGCCCAGATCACGTGGGCGTTTTCTCTCAAATAGTCGGCTATTCCTTGAAAACCAGCCGAAAATGTTCAAAGTGGGCGTTCACCAAGGCAAATGTCATAATCTTGGTGTCTTCCAAAAGAGGTCTACAAAAGCACTGCGTCCCCCAAGCCCGAGCCAGCATTCTCTGCTTTTCTGTGGCTGAGGCAGCAGCCGCAAACGAGAGCAGCAAAATCATGGTCCAGGGCATCTCCTGAAACTTGCACACATGCTCATCACTTTAATTGGAAGACCGCTTGGCGGACATCAATCAATTCTTTTTGATTCGTGTTGATGTTGACGTTTGAAGGGCTTGGCTCTCAAAATCATGCAATCTGTCCTTGAGGGGAGTGTGTTGAAAGTTCTTTCCCCCTCATGCTGCTTTCAGGTGGACGAGCGTATTGTCTGGTTTGGTCACAGAAGCGCCAGTGAAACTTCGCCCCTTTGTAAAAAGCAAGTTCGTGGCAGCTGCGAGCGGGCAAGCCTCCTTCAGGCTGCCAGTTGGTCTGTTGGTGTTGTATTGTTGAAGCAGGGGGGTGCCACGTGTTGTCTTCACTTGCAGCCGCGAGGTGTTGGCTTTTAAGTAGAAACTCAAGGGAAAAACAAATGAGTCTTTGATGGCACCCTCGCAGGCTTGCCGCATTCATTGGGTTTGCCCAGGCAGTTTGACGTCATGTCGCCGTGGGCGAGTGCTCCCCCAATTAGTTAGAACGAGTCTTACCCTTTGGGGGAGGTTTGCCCAGGCAGTTTGACGTCGGTGATGGGCGAGTACTCCCTCAATTAGTTGAAACGAGTCTTAGATTAGTTTTGCCTTTGGTGGACAACATTGACATAGGAACGAATGCCAACCAAGGTATTTCAGCCGTTAAAGAAATGCGCATGTGTTTCCAACAAAGGCCGCCCTTCAACAACCAAAATATTGTATTACCCTTGCTCCGTTTTATATACTTGAAATGACAAGCCCTGTTGCTGCCAGCTGTCTAGGGACATTCTGGTAGTAGTCTTATTTGGGACCTTTGCGTGGGCATGACTTACATGTAGCAGAACCACCCAAAACAAAAAAAAGCTCTTGGGGCGCTGCGCATTTAAGGAGACAAGTGCATGCGATTTGTGACTTCTGGGGCTCCTCCATTTTGACACCCAAAACGCCGATTTCATCTTCAAGCCCGGTCCAAGCACGAGGCTTCTTGGTCCAGCTCAGTGCGGACATACGCGAGGTAGTGGCCCAAGTGCACGTGGGTCTGCCGTGGTGGTCTCCCTTTGATTTCCCTTGGGCACCCGCGAAGAAAAAAACAAGAACTGTTTGTTTTGGCAATGCGTTTTGTTTTGATAAGGGGTCGAGATTTAATTTGGGATTTTGTTTGTTTTCCGTCCTGGTGGCTACTAAAATGCTGTAAGTTACAGCATTGTCTCGAAATGGGATGCGAAATTTACGTATTTTACGCTAGTCCGTCACCATCATTAGCATCCCCCGCATGTCCAGCCAACATCCCCAGCATCACCAGCAAATCCTTGGCTTCCTGCATCTTCAGCATCACCAGTTCCTCTGCGGCAAGGTAGGCATTTATGTACGCATGTTAAAAAGAGGGGCATTCAACCCTGTAAAACACCTAAAACGTAGCGGGGGGGTTGGGGGGGCGGCAGCCCCCCATGATGATATTAGGTGTGCATTTTGATCTCTGCCAAAAATCCAAAAAGTAGCGGGGGGGGCGGCCGGGAGGCAGCACCCCCTGGTGATCAAAAACTGATGATTCAATTGGGCAAAAAAGCACGGGGGAGGTTGGGGGGGGGCGGCAGCCCCCCCATGATGATCAAAGAGAGAGAGAGAGAGAGAGAGAGAGAGAGAGAGAGAGAGAGAGAGAGAGAGAGAGAGAGAGAGAGAGAGAGAGAGAGAGAGAGAGAGAGAGAGAGAGAGAGAGAGAGAGAGAGAGAGAGAGAGAGAGAGAGAGAGAGAGAGAGAGAGAGAGAGAGAGAGAGAGAGAGAGAGAGAGAGAGAGAGAGAAAAAAAAAAAAAAACAGCTTCTTGGTGTAGCAGGGCCACAAACCGGGCAGCCTCCCCCCAGCGGTTGCCCGCTAGGGATCAGGCCCGGGACTGGCTCCGCAAGCGTCATTGCCAGCCAAACAACTAGAAAAACAACAAAGGAGGTCCTGCTCCCTTGCCTCCCAAGTTGCCTCCCAAGTTGGGTCCTTTGCCACCCGGGCCCGAGCCCGAAGCACTGCGGCCACCTCGGTCCACCCAGGCGTGAGCCTGCACCACCCGGGCCGAAGCCCGCCCCATCCAGGCCTGAGCCCGAGTCTCCGCGGCAGGTGGCACCCAGGCCGAAGCCCGCACTCACGCCACGAATAAAAGAATGCGAAGGTCAACTGCCTCAATTGTCGAACGCAGATGGTGGTTAACTCTGCCGCTGCCTGCACCGCTGCTTGGCCAACAGAGGAGAGAACAAAAAAGAAGAAGAAAGGAAGAAAGGAGAGAAGGGAGAGAGGCACTGTCGCCCCGAGGGCCAACAGGGAATCATGAACCAGGTGCTCATCGGACCGAAACAGAAGAGAAGGGGCGAAAAAAGACGGAACAAAAGAAAAAGCAAAGAGCCCGGTTGCCGGCCCTGAGGTCACTGGTCCACGCGTCATTCCCCATTGAAGGCCCCCCCGGACCCAGGGGCATGATGATCAAAAAAGTGATGATTCAAAGAAGGGGCAAAAAACATCTAGAAAGCAGGCGGAGGGGTTGGGGGGGGTGGGGGGGGGGTTGGGGGGGGGGGGGGGGGCAGCCCCCCATGAGGGCATCTTGTTTAAAGAGTGTTTTCTTTCTTTGTTTTCATGATCCTTTTTTCAGGGTGGGTGGCTTTTAGGCTTTTTGGCTTTTGTGGCTCTTACGTGGTTTTTTGTTGCTTTGGTGGCTTTTCATTTCGCAACCCCTCTCTGTTTGTCTTTTCGCATCCTCTATCTTGAGGGTCCAGAATTGGAGGCAAACCTGAGGCAGCGGAACGCAAAAAGGGGTTGTGTTCTGTTGATTTCCGACTCTTCCAAACGGGCGTGGGGTTTGGTCCAGCTTAAAAAGTTGAACAAAGCACATTTCGCTCCGGACATGACATTGGCGATGACATCTACGAGCAGAACACTTGCAACTTCAGAGCACCTGATCCTCGTCGGCTTGCTTCTTCAGCTTGGCATTGAGCCTGTGCTTCTTAGCTACCGTCGTCCGCACTTTCACCTTGGCTTCAAGCGCACGCACAGCGAGTCATTGAGAGAGCAAACAAACGCGGCTGCCAGAATCGACATCTTTGGCGATTCACAAGAAGCAAAGCAAGAGTTGGGGTCCTGAGCACACAGAGGAGTTCCCGAGATAGGCCACTTTCTGGGCTCGAGTTGGGCTAATTAGCACCGAATGGTTCTCAGAGGTTCTTTCAATCTTTTTGAGTTGAGAGCCCTGGGCTCGGGCCCTTGGAGACCCCACAGTTCTTTACGCCGAGGCGCCCCCCTCATGCCGCCGCTTCATGTGCTAACGTCTCATGACCAGTGCGCCACACCCGGTTGGCCAAGCTGGGCACAGGGGACCCAAGCACATACATACAACACGCCTTGCGGTTGGTTCTTCTATGGATCGTGGACTGGTGTGAGCGCCTGAGTTGAGAAAAAGATGGCTGCGCTTGAGCATGCAAGAAGCATCCCAGCCTCACGCCCATTTCCCTGGGCCCACGCCGTGCCCAGCAACAACTCCTCGTGCTGTGGAATGGCCGTTCGCACAACCTGTTGGTCTCGCTTTTTAGGGGACCAGTTCCCACAGCCAAAACTCTGCCTGAGCAGATGTCCTCCGACTTGGCCGCTGGATGCCCGGCCTCGGCGAATCCGGCGCCGAGGCGCGACCTTTCGCAATGAAGACCTGGTATTGAAAAGGTCTCCACCATACAAAGCGTCAAGAAGGAGATCCTTCCCCTTTCGTTTGGAACTGTTTGTCAAGGTGCCACTGGTCCCTTTCGTTTCCCAAGGGCAAGGGTCTGCGCCTCGAATCCCTTGAAAAACAACGCTGCGCTCGCGCCCGAATCGCTTTTGAGGATCTGACGGAATCCACCGGAAATCGGAAATGCCGAACGTCGGACGTCGGTGGTTTCAAGTAAGCACCCGGCCCCCCTCGGAGGAGGACACCCCAAAGCCAGCAGAGTCGGCAAGGAAGCCCTGCCACTCCAAGTAAACAGAAATGGCTCTCTCTTTCCCTTGCTCTCTCTCTCTTGTAGAACTTTTGGCGGAACTTCCCCCGGACCTTCCCCGCACACCTCCGAATGTCACTCGTACACAATGAGGCAGATGTGATTGAAAAATAGGCGTGTGTTCAAAAAATACATGATTTGCTGCACGAGTGAATCTTTGCACGAGTGGACGTGGACGCGCTCTTGGACACTCGCACGTTCACTTGTACGTCCACGCATCCACTCGTACGTCCACTCATCACTCGTGCGGACGCTCGCACGCCCACTTGTGCACTCGTACATCCCTTCGTAATTACATCCACTGGTCCGCTCGTCTGTCCACCAGATCCCAACCCTGCTTTGAACCAGGCACGCCACGCCTGCCCGGCTGGAAGGAAGCAATCCACTCTTCTTGCAAGATTGATCGCTGCCTCGCAAGCCAGTCCGAGAGGCGACCCACAAGCCATGCAAACATCCCTGCTTCTTGCCCAAGATGAAATCGGTGCCTGAAAAGGTGGAGCGCCGTGCTGCTGGCAAGTTCCGCCACTTCCAACGCCTCGACATGGCCATGTCGACATCTTTCAAAATGGTGGATGCCCGTATGACTGAGGAAACCAAAGTGGAACCAACCATCTCAAGCGGCTATCTTGCGAAACCTCAGGAGAAAGCATCTTCCCAAGTCCAGTTCTTGGCATCAATTGTTGCATGGTTTGGCTCTAAATCCGCCGACCCCTTTCTCCAAAGGGAGGCGCATGGGAAGGGTTTGTCTTCGTCCTTGTCTTCGTGATGTTTATCATCACCACTGATGTTGGGTGATGGGTTCGCAGCATCTGGATCATCAGCATTCTACGTTTCAAGCTTGCCGTTAAAACCGGCTTGGAATGCAGTGATGCATTTTAGTCATGATTGTTCTGATAGCAGCTGCTCATGCTGGGCATGCATAGTGATGATACGGTAATTGCTGGTGATGCTGGAGCTGCGTAGTGATGATCATCACGATCATCATCATCATAAGCGATGCTGCAAATGCATAGTAATGATTATCAGTGATGCAAAAAATGCAAAGTAACCTTATCACCATTATCATCATGGTCATCATCACCTCTTGTGAGGCAGCACTGGTAAGGCAAAGGATGCTACGATGATAGTTATCATCACAGTCATCATCATGATCCTCCTTATCATCATCACAATACTGGTCGTCATCATCATCATCATCATCATCACTCTTCTCATCATCATCATGATGGTCATCATCGTCTCTTTCTTGTTCTTATATACATTTCAAAGGGATGTTAGACAGCATGGCGATGCAGAGGATGCTACGACGATAGTTATCATCAGAGTCCTCATCCTTATCATCATTATCATCATGGTCGTCATCATCATCTCTTATTAGCCGGCACTGGTGATGCCAAGGATGCTACGATGATAGCTATCATCACAGTCCTCATCCTTATCATTATTATCATCACGGACATCATCTCTTATTAGGCAGCACTGGTGATGCAAAGGATGCTACGATGATAGTCACAGTCATCATCGTGATCCTCCTTATCATCATCATGAGGTGATGGTCATTCATCATCACTCTTCTCATCAGCATCATGATGGTTATCATGATCTCTTTCTTTTTCTTATATACCTTTCAAAAGGGACGTTAGACAGCATTGACGATGCAGAGGGTGCTTACGATGATAATTATCATCACAGTCCTCATCCTTATCATCATTGTCATTTATCATCATTGTCATCACGCTCATCATCATCTCTTATTAGGCAGCACTGGTGATGCAGAGGATGCTACGATGATAGTTTTCATCACAGTCCTCATGCTTATATCATCATTTTCATCATGCTCATCATCATCTCCTATTAGGCAGCATTGGTGACGCAGAGTATGTATGTTACGATGATAGTTATCATCACATCATCAGCATCATCCTTCTTATCATCATCATGATGATGGTATCATCATCATCATCATCATCATCCTTCACATCATCATCATGATGGTCACCATCATCTCTTTCTTGTTCTTATACACATTTCAACAAGCATTGGCGATGCAGAGGATGCTACGATGATAGTTATCATCACAGTCCTCATCCTTATCATCATTATTAGGCAGCATTGGTGATGCAGGGGATGCTACGATGATAGTTATCATCACAGTCTTCATCCTTATCATCATTGTCATCACGGTCATCATCTCTTATCAGGCAGCATTGGCGATGCAGAGGATGCTACGATGATAGTTATCATCAGAGTCATCATCAGCATCATCCTTATCATCATCATGATGATGGTCGTCATCATCATCATCACTCTTCTTATCATCATCACGATGGTCATCATCTCTTTCTTGTTCTTATAAGGATTGGCGATGCAGAGATGATAGTTATCATCACAGTCCTCATCCTTACCATCATTATCACCATGGTCATCATCATCTCTTATTAGCCGGCACTGGTGATGCCGAGGATGCTACAATGATAGTTATCATCACAGCCCTCATCCTTATCATCATTGTCGTCATGGTCATCATTATCTCTTATTAGGCAGCACTGGTGGTGCAAAGGATGCTACGATGATTTTTATTATCACAGTCATCATCATCATCATCATCATCACTCTTCTCATCATCATGATGATGGTCCTCATCATCATCATCATCACTCTTCTCATCATCATCATGATGGTCATCATCATCTCTTATTAGCCAGCACTTGTGATGCAGAGGATATTGATTACGACGGTGACAAGCATCAAACCGGCTGATAATCATCATGACGCATCCTCAGCATCACCAGCAGTCATGATGATATTCATGTCCACGCATCTTTTGAAGGATGATGATAAGGATGACTGTGATGATAACTGTCATCGTAGCATCATCGTATCATCACAGTCATCGTCCTTGTCACCATCGTCATCAATATCATCATCATCATCATCATAATCATCATCATCGTCGTCATCATCAGCATCATCATCATGGTGGCCACAAGCGTTGTTAGGGCCACCATAAGCGTAGTCGAGGCCACCCGGCTTGCAAATTTGGGGGGTCTGATGCTGAGGATGCGTCATGATGATTATCAGCCGATGTGATGTCAACATCATCGGTTTCTTCATCATGACCCATGAACCAACGCATCCACGAGGCGTATACAGCGTTTCCACAATCGCGCCATACGCGGAATTTGGTTCTCTTCTCCTTCGTTCCATCGGAATGGGTGACGATGTACAACATCAACTGCCACGCGAACGGGCTAATCGAGCACGGCACCATGCACAAGGGAGCTGACCGCCCCAACATTATGAAAAGATTCTTTGCCGAATGCAGCCTGGTGCTCGGTGACATCAACGAGCTTGAGAGTGTTTTCGATGGGGACATGGAAACATTTGTGCAACACCTCATCGTGAACCTGTTCAACAAGAAGTTCGCGAAGGAACTGTCACAAATCGGCGGCATCACGCTCGACAAGGACTCTTTCGCAGACTACTTCCGCAGTAGCAACGAACTGTGGGTTGACAAGCTGTTGCAATTGTCCGCATGGTACTGATGGTCGGCTGTGGATTGCGCTCCTTCTAAGTGACGCTGACATCATCAGGGTCTGGGGTTGGGCCTGCATGATGCTTCAGCGGGGCTTGGTCTGCATCATCAAGACTTCCTTCCAAAACGCCTCTCAACCCATGAAGCACTGTTTTTAAGAAGGTATCGGGGGGATATAAGCGAGGCTCATTTTCGCGCATTTTGGCGCCATGCGCTGCCGAGCATGCCGGCGACGCTGGGTCCTCGCTCTACCAAAACGCTGTAAATACCATCAAAAACTGCTGTGCTGAGCGGTGGGCTGTTGTTCTGTCCGTTTTGCTTTTGCTGTGGCTGGCGCGCGTTCTGCGCGGTCCTTGCTTTTGTCCCGTTTGTTTTCGGCCCTTCTGGCGCGCGTGCGCGCGCGACCCCAGCCACAAAACGCTGCTATTTACGGTGTTTTGTTGCATTTGCGTTTCCGGGCTGGCTTGCTCTTTTTGGGCTGCTCTTTCTGGGGGCTCTGGCGCGCGCGCGCGCGCGACCCCATGTCAGCCTTCTGGGTTGGGGCCCGGCTGGGGCCCAGAGCTGGCATCCCCGGCATCATCTGGGGTTGGGGTGGGCAACATGCATACCCTAACCAGCCATACAAAAAACATGACATGACATGGCATAACTTCAAAGAGGCGTAGCCGGCTAGAGGCTGCAGGCCCAGAAAATAGACAAATAAACTTGCCAGCGCCCACAGATTGATGTTTCCATGATAGTGAAAACAAGAGGAAAATGGAGGAAAAAGAAAAGAAAAAAAGGCCTCATCGGTCTTGCCATTGCTCTCTGGCAACAGGCTTCGGCGCACTCGATCCATGAGTTGCCTCCAACGAGATGCCGGGGGCTCAGCCTCAGCACGCGAATTGGCGCGACGGACTCCAACAAGTTCAGCAAGATCTTGGGCCACCCAGCATGCAACAGCGGCAAATTTTCCAGCATGCCACATATCATGACCCTGCATCCCTTGACACAGCAAGCGAACGCAAACTGAGGCACCGACCCCCATGGAACAGATTCACCGCATTTGCTGCATTGACTGCCACTGCTGTATCATGCTGTGTCACGCCGTGTCACAATGCGTCTGCCTTGCCTGTGTTGCTCAGATGCTTCCGCTTTACTGCAAAGCGACTTCGACTACTGAGCGCACATGTTCCAAGCGCAACAACTCAGTCCAACACTGGCAAAACCTTCCACAAATACGCATATTCCCGCATGCCGCTTGCGTGTTGTCCAAGATCGGAAACCGAACCAGAAGCACGGGCTGACTTGACAAACTAACATTCCTGCTAAGCCAGTGCGCACTACTTTCTAAATCAGTGCATCTATAACGACTGAAGAAGGATGATAAATTACAAAACGGTCGTGAAAAATGACTTCGTGTTCTGTCAGTGTTTTGAAGATTGGCCAGTAACCTAATAGAAGATGATCAATATATGTGTTGTCTTCTCCTGAAATATGACATCTAATTTTTTTGTCTCCTGCATTTGGATTATAAACATTGCTACCCGATGGAGAACAATTAACGTGTCTTCTGTCCGTGATATATTGTGCTGTTTCAGTGAGTCCAAAATTTAATGAGTTAATCATTGTAGGTTCACTTTCTGCAATTATATTATCCATTACTTGTATATGATGATATAGATTCTGTTTGTAATGTTTTATACTTTTCTTATGTGGAAGCATTGTGATATAATTACTTGAAGTTGTATTTTTATTATATATTAAATAATTCTGTTTTGTATAAACTATATCTTTCTTAGTATAACCTAAATGTATATATTGTTTATCGAATTTTGTAGGTTCTTTTGTCAGCTTCTTCTCTAATGGAACTTTGTTTTGCTTGTCTTTATTTCTATACATTATTATTAATACTATTGATATTTTATTGCGCCGGTGTTGAATTAAGGTCAAAACCATTAGACATATCAGTAGTAGGCCGCACTTAAATGAAGTCTCTTTACAAAAGTGATGTCCCTGGACTCCAACATGAGGTACCCCACACAAGCTCCCCAAACCCGCATGAGTAAAACGGCTCATATTAATAAACACCCCAAAGCCACCCCTAAGAAGAACTTGGTATTGGTATTGAAGTACCACTACTAGTACTTCAAGCAGTACTAGAAGTACTACAAGTACTCGATGCAGTACTACGATGCAGTACTACAAGTACTAGATGCAGTACTACAAGTACTACAGGTACTACAAGTACTACAAGTTACAAGTACTAGAAGCAGCTACTACAGCCACTACTGCAAGTACCACAAATACAGAAAGCAGTACAAGTGCTACTACAAGTCCTACTGCAAGTGCTACTACAAGTACTACTACAAGTACTGCAGCCGCTACTACACGTACTACAAATACGAGAAGCAGTACTACAAGGACTACTACAAGCACTACAGTTACTACTACAAGTACTACAAGTACTACAAGTACTAGAAGCAATACTACAAGTACAATTGCTTTTTTCTTGCGGTGCTTTGCCCGAATAAAATACAAAAAACAAAAGCAGTTGAGGGGGGGACCCCGTTTACTAATATGAAGTCGACATTAAAACAAATGTGTTCGACATTAACACAAATGTGTTGAATAGATACTATTTATTAACATTTAATCATGTATAATAAATATTCGGTGTATTTTTGCTATTTTAAGGAAGTGAGTTTGAACCCCGAACTTTTGGAGATTTGAAAGCCTACATTTAGGAAAACAGACGTAGATATGTATTTAAAAAATACTTCCAGAAATATTTTATAATACTATTATATTGAGCATTTTTGAGAAAATAAATAAGTATAATAAAGATAAGATTTACAAAGTAATAGATATAGGTTATACCAGATGTTGTATCGGTAGCACTTGTGAAAGTTTGTGTCAAAGAGTGGCAAAACATTTTAAGACACAGAAACACCAGCAATACCTACAAGACAACCCACAAGAATAGAATATTAAAATATCACCTTTACTAACATGGCAAATATTAATAAACAAATATGACTGGTCAAAATCTTTTCTGATAGGTCAGGACATGGAAGCATTGCGACAACCTACAAGTATGCTAAAGAAAAAGAACAAGGCATAACCTTAAATGTGTTAAAGAATGGTTTAAAAAGAATATAGAAGAGAAGAAGCAATTAAGAGTGAGAAATTCATTTATTGCTCCACATCCATGTTTTGAAATTCAAGTAGGTTTATTTTTTGAATTAATGACATACCCAACTGGACAGGGAGCTGAGCAAGGCGGACTGCGTGGTCCGGGACCGCAAAACAGGCAGTGACAGCTGCGTCATATGGGCCTCCGCAAACGCGAGCGAATCCAAAGGCGCAAGGACCGCAGAAGGTGACAACAGCGAGGGGAGGCACAAAACAAAAGCAGCAGCCATGCAGACTGCCGCTCCCTGAAGGAGCAAGTCTTGCTTGGCGCGCGGCCTGCAGCTGGGCGGCAACAAACGCGGAGGAACTGCAAGTGCAACGAGCCCCGGCTGTTCAGGTGGCAAAGTTGGGTCGCCGACCCACACCAAGCCAAGCTCACGGATTCCTGGCGGCTCGCGCCAGCGTTCCAAGCCCTCGTTTTGCCCTGGTGGACTGCGACACGCGCATGCCGAAACAGGTGCTGGGACAGTAGGTCAAAAACTTCTTTCTTTTTTTTTTCGCGCGCCTTTTTCCAAGCATCGCAAGTGAAACGCCGGCTGGAACAGACCAGCACCCGCGCCGAGTGCGAGGCAAGCAGCTCAGCCGCGCAAGGGCAGGCGGCTCGCGCCCGCATCCGCGGCGAGCCTGAGCACGTGCTCCAGCGGCGGCTCGGGCAGGCCGGGGCCCTGAGGCGCTGCCGGCCATGCGCGGCCCAAGGCCGTGGACCCAACGGCCTGCTGCACCGCAACGGAAAGCTGCGCCCACCAGCGCCGCTGCCACCCTTGGGCTGCTGGCCGGCGCACAGCAGGGGGGGCCCGCAAGCTGCGACAGCGCGCAAGGTCCCGCACGAGCCCCAAGGCCTCGTCATTCCAGCGCCCGCCTACCTCCGAGCCAAGCACCAGGAGCCGCTGCGGCCCCTGAGCGAGCAACTCAGGGTACGTCGCCCGTTTCCGGCGCTCAGCCACCCGCAAGGCCGCTCCGTCCTCCTCCGACGCCCGGGGCTATGACGTATATAAGTCATCGAGGTAAGCAAACACAAGCTCTCCTGGGCGAAGGTGGCGCTGGAGCTCGACCAGGGCCGGATGCTGACCCAAAGCATAGAGAGCTGGCATAATTAAGCGGGTCGCCTTGCATCATGCCATACAAACACGAAAACGCCGCGTAAATCTGACGCACAAAAGTTGACAGGCGTTAGCACCGGGCACGTGGGCCAGCCCCCTAGCATTGCCTGGCGGCTGTCAAAAGCACCGACTCCATCCACGGACAGGATTGTGGCATCCCGCAAGCTGGACGAAGACACTTGTTGGGCTTTTGTAGCGCCACGATGTGGCCGAGGCCAATGGCTGCGGCGATGCCAGGGAAGGAACCTGCACCCGCGCCAAATCCGTGGCTGCTTGGACAAAAAGAGCCAGACCAGTGGCTTCGTCATCCAAAACTAGGCGGCATAGCTCCGATGTGGCCACCAGGGCCCGCTGCAGCTCCTTTCCGGGCACGGCACGGATGTTGGCGGAAGCACCGGCCGGCTTCCAAAAGCCGCGAGCGCCATTCTGGTTTCGTGAGCCGGTCGGCGCCGGGAGGCCTTGACTTGAGCGGGGGCATCCGCACGCGCGGCATCAATCGCCGAAAGGCCAACGAAAGAGCTGCACGGAAAGGTCTACGCAGGAACTTGCGGGCTCGGAAAAAAGAGGCAACGCTGCTGAAGGGTTCCTGCAAGTTGACTTGGTCAAAACGAGCAAGGGCAGCACGGACAGGACGGCCCAGGTCCGTGCATGCGCGACAAACCAAGGAGCTGGGCGCGGGTGCGATGCCTCCGCCAGCGGGACGGGGCTTGCGGGAGGCGGGCCCACAGGCTGTGGGGCTGGTCCGGAACTGACAGCGCGGCGGGCGGCCCAACCATCAGAAGCACCACGCTCGCTGAGGAAGACCTGCAACAACGCCTCCTGTGCGGAGGCAGGGACGTAGCTGTGTAGTGTCAAGCATCGCTCCAATACCCATCGAAAATGCACAAGCGTGTGGGGTGGCAAGGCAAAGAGCGGAGCGACGGCACTAACGAGGCTTCGGCCTCAGGACGCGTCGGCCATCCAAGGCAGGTTTTCAGGACGGACAAAAACCGAGACAGGGGCAACAGGGGAGAACGACGGAGCTAAGACACAGCCGCCTGCCAACCGACGGCAAGGACGGAATGCCCTGCCCAGGCTTTCTGCGCTTGCGAGCAACAGGCCTCCGCCAGCAAGGGGGAGTGGCACAAAAAAACAACTGTTGACCTTGAGCACTTGGCCCTCTGCGGAGGGGGGGGGGGGGCGGCGCACGCAGTGGCGAGGGCACAACCCGGTCCGGCGCCACGGGCGCAACAGAAACGTTAGCCGCGGCACCAACAGAAGCAACACGGGCTCGTTCAGCTGCAAGGCGTGAATCAATGCGCACTGGCCAGCGGCAACCGGTCCCGTCAAGCAAAACGAGCGCAAACATCCACTGACTCCACCACTGTTGCTCCCAGGCAACGGCGGCTGTCTGCCACAGTGAGCGTGGCGCGCGTCTCGCTCGGACCCGGACGAGGTCAGCGACAAGCTTGACGGCGTTGCGGCCCCAGCGCCCGCCAACCTTGCCCCCAGGCACCGTAGCTCCAGGTAGGCAGCGACAGCCTCTGCCGCAGGCAACGCCGCGCCGTCGCAATCGGCGGCTTGCGCCTGTGCCCGGCCTAGCAGCTCAGGCCAGACGAGCGTGGCATTGCAACACAACGCAACGCCCGAAGCCGTGCTCCCGTGACGACAAGGTCCAGCCGCCACCGATCGACGGCATCAATTCCCGCTCGGAGCCCGACTTTCACCCAAGCTTTTCCAAATGGTTTGGCTCCCCTGGCCAGCCAGCCAGCGC